CGTAGTCGCCATCCGAGGCAGTCGCGTGAAAGATCCGGGTCGTTGTATATGTTGATGAAGACGTATCTTTTTTCTCCGCATGATATGTCCAGTATCTGTATGTCTCGGTGAGATATGATATCTGATCGGACGTTCACCTTGAATTTCCCCCCCTTCTTGATGTATGACATAACTCTTGGTGGGGGGTCGTTTCTTCCCAACGATGGGCATGGTAGTAGTGGCGTCCAGTCAGGGTGGCCAACCGGCCCTTGCACTGTTCCATTGGCGTCAGCTCCGATTCTTCCCCAGTTGGGTTCTTGTACTAAGAATATGTCGTAGTCGTTGATGTGTCTGTTGAGAATTGTGTGAATAGTCTCCTTTTTCTTGTTAGCATTTAATTGAAAAAACCGTATTCGGTGTGCATTCGGGAGTCTCTGTTGTCTGTCTTGGCTCATTGTGAATTTCCGTTTGTGGTCTCGCTGTGTTCGGTCTCATCTGTGGTGATTTCCATGCTTGTCGCTGCGACTCCTGGGATATGGATTTGGGTGGCGAGAGCCTGGAAGATGTTGGTGCCTGATGTGGCGGGGGGGGCTGTCGACATTGGGTTGTTCTCGTCAGATGGTTTTTTCCTGCTTCTCCTACCTTTAGCTGTCTTCCATTCATCGTTTACCCCCTTTTTAGAGGGGCGTGTATTGGTACGAATTTCTCCTAGTTTTAAGAGGCGTTCGGGGCACCGTCTTGCATCTGCAGTGTGTGCATCATCTCGTCCCTCTTTCCCCATGCAGTTAGCACATCGTACTATATGGTCGCAGTCTGTCTGTAGTTCGTCGGGGTAGCAGTTGGCAGCCTCTGCTTCTATTTTGCATCCGTCGCAGTGTTCGTTATGTTTCTCTTCGGGGTGTTTCCCTCCACACCGGCGGCATCGTGTTTCGTTCTGGCAGTTGTTCTTCATGTGACCAAAGCTTTGGCAGTTCTGGCAGCGTGGCAGGGGTTTTCTGTCTGCAAATGGCTTCACTGCTATAGACCGTCCATAGGCTGCGAGATACTTAGCTTTGTGGGTCAGATAGTTGTATGCCTCCTCATCTGAGGTGGCAATTTTAACAGAGGAATATGCTTGCTGCCGTAGTTCGCTTTCTGGGCGCACCCATGTTGGCTTGAGTTCAAGAGACAGGTTCTGGAAAATGGGATTGTTAGCTTTCAGTTCCTCTAAGATTTCATCCGGAGAGTAGATGTGGGTTTCAGCTCCAGGCATGACAAAGTCGTATGCTCCTGTTCGGACACCATGTAGCAGCAGTTTCCCCCATTTGGCAGTTGTCTGCACAATGCATTCCTTTCCTCGGGTGAGGATTGGAGCAATGCGGTCACTAAATCTTAGTAGATCTGTTGCATTCTGGTCAGTGCGGAGTGTTAAGATGATATTGTCATTTGCATTCCACTTCACCGTGGTTACACAGATGTGTTTCGAGTCGTCGTGTTTTGCAAGTTCCAAGTTTACCTCTTTCACTAAGGTGAGTGCATCTTTTCGCTCTAGTGGATGTACCTTCTCCCCTGGGAACTGGAATACTAGTCTCGAGTGGTGGTTCGGGTCCATGGGGTTCACTGTGGGTGGCTTTTGTGTCGGGTTTTTGCCTTTGTCATTTTTTGTTATGCTAGCGTAAGTTTGGGTCGCATTTGGGGCACCTTGCCGTTTTGGGGTGGCTGGTGAGTTTGCCAGTAGCTGATGGCCTAGATCTCTGATCTCCATTGCAGTCGTTGTTTTCATGTCTGCCATGGCTCGTTCAAGTCGTTCTGCAATCTTCTGTGTTGTTTCTAGAGCCTTCACCATCTTCTCTGGTTGGTAGTTCGGTTCCCCTGTCAATAGGTTCAGTAGTTGTCGGGTTTTCTCGATAGTCGTCCTTGGGATGTCCTGGTGGTCAGTCTTAAGTCGGTGTGCACATCCCAGAGCTTCGTCTATGGCTCTCTCGAGTGCTTGTGGTCCCTCTAGGCTCTGTATGCTGTTCCAGCTGTTATTGGGAATGTACTGTATTGTGTCGTCGTGGTCACCGAGCATCTGGTCGTCGTCGTCCTCCTCCAGGTCTTCATCAATTGATTCTATTGTTATGGTCTCCACGGGTTCCGGGCGGCCCGAGAACACGTCCTCGGTTGTGTCCGATCCCAACAGGGTCACGTGGTGTTGGTTTTCGATGTGGCCACGGGTGTTCGGATTCGGGGTGGGGGATCTATTTCTATCATCAGTGGTGCTTCTTCCTTGACGTGCGGTGTTAGATGGGTATGGGGCGGTACCGTGTTGGCGCCTACTTCCGGGATCCTTCTGGATCCCACGAGCTCTCTGTCCGGCTGTTGAATCGAGGCTGCCCTTTTTCTTGGTTGGGCTGAGGAATTTCGGGATGGAAGGGATTAGTTTTCTGTGTTTTTGGGGGGTTTTAGATGGTGATTGGGGGTTGCTTTCGCTCATTTTGTGCCTACTTCGACCTCTATGTTCGCCTATCCGGCTTTCGTCCGCCTCTAATGGCGTGGGAAATCCGGTGGTGATGGCAATCGGACTCACATTGCCTGTCAGCTGTTGATTCTCGAGATCCTTACCAGTTACAAAGCTTAACATCGTTAAAGATATCCTGTGCGCAAACATGAAAATTAAGTGATCTAGCTCTGTGGTGAAGACTCGGGCGTTAAAGAGTGTCAGGAAGCCTGAAGTATATGAAGAAAAAAGAAAATTAGGTGGAACATGGTCGCGAACACCGGATCGTATGTGCCGGAGCATGGCTTCCACACACGTGATCTAACGTCCACGTTCGCGTAGTACTACTTACGCTGCGTACTACGCTTGCTCTCAACTACAATATACCGGAAACACAGCTCATTGAATATTGACTTGAAGGAACGAAAAAGTACGTTGCTTACTGTTGACTAGTCAACTTCTTCACCATCCACACGTACAGCTGCTGCGAAATGCACATACCATGGCTCCTGCCGCTCTTCGCAGTCCTTGTCGTCGCTTCGGACGACAATGATACTCTCTGGGGTGCCTACAGACCTAATCTCTACTTTGGAATGCGCCCACAAATACCACAAAGCCTTATGACTGGTCTTATATGGTTCGGTGCTCACGACTATCAGTCCGTCTCCCGTGCGTCTCGTCTTGGCCATTTCCTCTGCATCTCATTGACATCCAAATCCTGCAGGGCCACGTCATGCATGTTCTCAGGATGACCAACTACGTTCCTATACGTGGAATGTCTACGACCCTCGCCAAGGCGGTGTACAAACCATTGAAGACACTCTGAACAACGTCCGAATTACAACAGAGTTCATCAAGGTTAGTGGTGGCCAAAACGGCGGCAGCTGGGCTGCTCGTGTAAAAGGAGAACCCCTTAATCCTTGTAAGTGCGTACTGTCCTCTTTCATTCTTCATGTTCTCAAGTTCGACAGCCGCAATGTCACGCCCTTCCCTCATTTGGTATCTTGGATTGGAGGGTCTAGGAGGCCTAGATATGGACACCGACGAGGAGGAAGATGTCGGTCTTCACCTCACTTTATCCACGTGCATGCACTTATACCATTCAGGGATTGGATGGCGAAGTCAAATTCTCTGGATCGACACCCGAGTTGGACGAGTTCACAATCCGCATAGTTGACCGTAAATCTCTACCATTCACTCACTTATTGTGTTAACAGCTCACCAGATCCCGACAATTCGTACATCACAGAGGGTCCCCATGCGTCCGCGTTCTCTGCTCGCGCCGGAAAGACCCATTACTTAGGACAGCCCATACCTACAGGACATATCTGGCAAGCGCGCGATTCTATCTTACAAGCCATGATCAAGCGTGCCCAAGATGTTATTGCACCTTATGCAGACCCAGCGGTTGGACTTCCCGATCCCTCCTTCATTCTTCAGCTCCCCGATGAGGTGTACAGTGGCTCCAACCTTTACGCGATCCAGAAAACATTTAAAGGGCCCTTCCAATTCGATGTATTTTTTGACAGCGCATCTCTGACCCAAAAGCTTACTTGTGTGTTCTCTCCCCTTTGACCCATCTAAAATATTGACACGCATGTAGCCGCCGTTCTTGACCAAGGCATTCCCTCGTTAACCAAGTCGTACGTTTCACGCTTCTCTCGAATCTTCCCCATCCCTTCCTCATATCCATCCACTTCTGAACTGGAGTCCTTTTCACAAGCTATCACTGCCAACTTGATGGGGGGTGTTGGATATTTCCATGGCACCTCCATCATCGACAAATCTTTCTCTTTTGAATGGGATGAAGATGATGAAAGCTCTGATGACGATGTCCCTCCGGAACAGCGTGGTCCCCAACTTTCTGAACCCAAATCCCTTCTCACTGCTACGCCCAGTCGGAGTTTCTTCCCCCGTGGATTCTATTGGGATGAAGGCTTCCATCTATTACATATTGGACAATGGGATGACGCATTAGCATTAGAAATACTCAAGAGTTGGATCAATCTGATCGACGAGGATGGCTGGGTGGGAAGAGAACAGATTCTCGGCGAGGAGGCCAGAAGCAAAGTACCACCTGAATTCCAAACACAATACCCAAAGTATGCTAATCCGCCTACACTTACAATGGCTATCACTGCCTATATTAGCCGCGTCAAAGCCGCTGATTCTGGTCCGTCTCTCGCTGATCTGGGTATGGGCACGCAGCAGACACCACTTGACGTCCAAGGAAGCGATACTCCTGAGGCTCGTACACCCACTTTCGCCCTGCCGTTCCTCAAATCAATCTACCTACCTCTCCGACGGCACTATGACTGGTTCCGACGCACACAGCGTGGACTTATTAAACCATATGCTAGGCGGGCCCGTTCGCGAACTGAGGCGTACCGATGGAGGGGGCGCAACCTTAACCACGTTTTAACGTCGGGAATGGATGATTATCCCCGTAGTACGCCTCATGCTGGCGAGCTTCACCTGGATCTCATTTCATGGATGGGTTTCTTCACACGTACAATGAAAGAGATTGCGGATTTCGTTGGCGAGACGGATGACGCCTTATCGTTTGGTGAGATCTACGAGAACATTGTGGGAAACATTGATGATCTGCACTGGGATGAGGAAGAAGGGATGTACTGTGACGCGTCTGTAGATGACGAAGACGAATCAATGCCCGTTTGTCACAGGGGATATCTGTCACTATTCCCATTCTTGCTGGAACTCGTACCTGTGGACTCTCCCCATCTTGGAAAGATTCTCGATCTCGTTCGGGATCCTGAGCATTTATGGTCTCCTTACGGTCTCCGGAGCTTGTCTGCTAGCCATCCGGAATTTGGACAAGGAGAAAATTACTGGAAGGGACCAATTTGGGTACAAATGAATTTCCTGGCCTTGAGAGCTTTGCATCAGGTGGGCCAATGCTTATTTTCTCAGCTTTCTTTACTGATGTTCAAAATAACAGACGTATGCAGCACAGGAAGGTCCGTTCCAGGCACGAGCACAAGAAATATATGACGAGCTTAGGCGAAACGTGGTGGATAACGTTTTCAAGGTCTGCTGTTACATGTCCTGACAGAGAGGAGCTGACATTTTAGTGACTTTTTTAGGAGTACCAACGCACAGGATATGTGTGGGAGCAGTATGATGCTTTGACAGGTGAGGGAAGGCGGAGTCATCCGTTCACTGGTTGGACATCCTTGGTGACATTAAGTAAGTCACAACTTGACTTCAAAAAAAGAATGTAGCTAACGGATTGCGTGCCAGTTCTGTCTGAAAAGTACTAATAGTAGGAATAATGGCATGTATGTAACAAGTCATGAACTTAAATCATACATAAGAAAGCGAAAAGAAATGCAAGGATAATCTATATCAAAATCGGCTGGGGTCAAAGGATAGGTCGTCAAAATGTAGCGAATCTAATTGCATCTCGATGCTGGTATCAGCGTCAAGCATTGGGGAAGGCGCTGGTGGCGGCTGATAGATTTGCGGCACCAACACACTTTCCTTCACCCTACTTTTTGCACTGCTCTTCTCCCTCCGGAAGGATGGGAATCTGTGCAAGCTGAATATGGAGGTAATCTTCATGGGCTCAGTATCAACTGGGGTGTCTGGTCCAGACGACGAAGATGAGGATGAATCTGAAGTGCGGGACATGGAAGGCAGACTGGGGGAAGAGGAAGAAAAAATTTTCAGCATGCTGAAGTGTCGGGTCATATATGAACGGGTTGTCGGTGAAGGTGACGGTGCCCGGAGATCAACATCCTCCTTTTCCTCATCATCTGGATGAGGGAACTTGTTGTATAATGACGAATTGCTCTGCCGCACACGCAGGGGAGGGGGGAGCACCGGTTGAGCCTTGGGACGTATTAAAGCCTTGACTGCTTTGAAGAAGGACGTGGTGGACCGTTTCTGCTGGGGCAGCTCGGAAGACGACAGAGGTGAGGCTGGGCTGCACGAATGGTGACGGCTGACACGGATGACTTGGTATATCTCTGAGTCGTCTGCAGGGTCATTATCAACGAGAATGTCGATATCAAGGTCATCAAGGAGGAACTCGGCAGTGTTATGGGAGGGGGGAAGACGGTGGAGAGCATCGGCCAGGATGTTAGAGTCATGGTCGACGGGATCATCGGGGTCGTAACAGCAAAAGGGCTCTTCCTGGTCTTCCTCTGGAGGAAAGACGACGACATTAGGGCGCATCATGGCGGGCGACGACGGCGGGGCGGGCGGGAAACGAGCGGCGGACATAGAGAATGGCGGGATTGGCATCAAAGCCTTGCTGGCCTGGAAGCTAATAGTAATAGTAAAGAAAAGCGTGAACTCACCAATCACGTGCGCGCTATGCTTCTCTTTCGACCGGTATCGCGCTTTTCCCACCTCCGTCCATTCCATTCCTTCCAGCCATTTCATCGTCCCGTCATCGTGCTCAACGACGAGCAGATGGCTCGTGCTCTGTATGTTCTTGCTAGATGTCTGCCTTCTCTTCACCTAAAGATCTTTCAGCTCAGTAACCTTCTTGGGCACTTCCAGCGGCGGAGGTCCTTCTCCAACTCGCAACTGCTCGTCTCTCGTCGCCAGCGTCTGCAATAACGGTAGCCTTTGGATGGTCGACTGCGCTGAAGGAACATTGCGTCAGTTCTACAACCAGCCAGCCACCTACGACGACGTCCAGCACCTTAAGGTTACCCGCGTCAACAAGATCTTCATCACCCATATGCATGCTGACCATGTCATGGGAATCATCACCTTCTTGCGAAATGTGCTCTATCCTGTACCTCTGCCGACAGCACAGTCTCAGCATCATCCAAAGTCGGATCCTACAGTTGAAATATATGGTCCAGCAGGGATACGAAAGTTTGTCCGCCTGAACATGAAAATGACTCTCAGTCGGTCCAGCGACAAGTATGTCGTCCATGAACTGGTCACCCCAGAAGACACAGTGACTCCTTGTACAACAGAGGACTTGCACACCAGTGAGGCTCCCGGTCGTGACATAGTAGCCGAAGACGGCTTTTGGCCGGAGATTACCAAAGGGTCTGGCTTTTATGGCGATATCTGTGTTGATGCGGGGCCTATCGCTCATCGAGGTGCGACACACAAATCAAACATAAGAAATCGCCACTCACCTGTCTTTCAGATCCATGTCTTGGCTTCATCTTTCGGGAATCTGTCAGTCCGCACCGCAAGATAGTCATCCTCGGCGACACTTACGATCCAACGTCCCTTGTTCCACTCATAAACCAGTTTTCCTCGTCTCCAACATCACTCCTGGTTCATGAATCTACTGATGCCCATATTGACCCCCACATAGACGTCAAAGCGAAGCGCTCCAAAGAAACCGTCTCGAGCACCGCTCTGGCCCGTGGTCACTCAACGCCCGACCTTGCTGGCGCATTTGCGCGCACCATTGATGCTCAGAAGCTGGTCCTCAATCATATCGGAAGTCGGTTCCCAGCGGCCAGTGGAGGAGGCTTCAAGGCGGACGTTATCAGGGAGATCGAGCGCCAGGCGAATGTAGCTTGGGGAAAGGGTACTGCGCGCGCTGCGTGGGATTACATGCGTGTCGTTGTCCCTGCTCCCGAAGCCGAACAGGAGGAAGTATATGGATTGAGTTCAAGAGCAACTTTGAATCATCACGGTGATGTTCAACATGCGGATGGCATCTATCCTAGGAGATCACAAAACCATAATCCTAGGAAACGATATGCCTGGTCATAACAGCCCTGACTGCAATTTCATATCCCTCATCTGCGATTGCGCAGCCTGGCAATTGACACTGGGAACTCCTGGGTGCATTTTTAATGTTCCTATGCCCATCCCACACCGTATTTCGATGCTGGAGACATTCAGATGTCATAATGTGGACGTGGCGAGCCTCGAATCCACTTTTGTTTGAAGATTATCCATCTCTATGGAATCCTCGGGGTTAATCTGCTCTCCTCGCTTTTTTCTCCTTCGCAACTACCTCAGTAGTATTTACAGCGGACCACTGACCTGCATTGGGAGTCTGTCCATCGTCAGGTCTATCGGTATAAAGGTCCAAAAAGTACTGAAGCATTAAAGGAGGATATGACCAAAAGATGGTGTGGAAAGACTGAGCAAGGAATTCAGGTAGATAACTTATCAAGCACCTCTAGCAACTATTTCCAACTCATCTTGACCATAAATCACTGCATGAACTCTCGTCGAAAGTGCCTTGTTCAGCCTCCTAGCATTTGGCATACCATCTGCCCGTGTGTGGACCTACGTCAAAAAGATTAATGATAAACTGGAAGGACTAGAGGAATTACTTACGACACAATCCTGGAGTAAAAGCTCGCCGGCGGTCGGATTCTCAGCATACTTCTGAAAAAGACTTGAGAATGTGGGATACTCGTCCACGATGTCTTGCGCGCCCGAAAATGTCACGCCAGGAATCTGGCGGAGCATCCAGTTCCAAATTTCCTTGTAGGTGTTTTCGGTTTCAACTTGCTTGAAATCCGCACAAAATGGGAGGTGCGACCGTTCGATCAGTTGCCGAAAAGTTTGGTCATATTCAAGGACTGTTGCAGATGCTACGCACTTGTATGACTTGATGCCTACAATTTGTGCGTGAGTCTTCTACAGCAGGAGACGAGATTAGTCCAATAACCTATATCAGCAGTGATGTTATATAACCGCTCAACAACCTCTTCGACGCTTTCAACAAAAACGTGATGCGTATGGCAAGTGATATTCAAACTTGCAAAAGCCTCGTAGGCGTCGTTGCGCTGTCCCTCCTCCAGATGCTCGACCATGATAAAAGTCTGATGGTGGCTCGAATTGCTGCCGTGGGCGTCGCGAAAATCCTTGACGATCTGTAACAACATCTTTGTGGGCACCAAATGCACCAAATTCGCGCCGGTGAGGTAGAGCAACGCCGTGGACTGCAAGACCTCGTACTCTTCACAAGGTATCCAATTTCTCGTTTCCGCGTTGCATCGCTTATTGGACCACATCCTCCACTGTATCGTGTGATAATCCCGAAGCAGCTGGTTTCCAAATAACAGTGTGCCGCCGAGTCCCCGAAGTCTCTCCTTGAGGGACGACAGGAGTTCCGCATGCGCGTACTGGAAAGATTCGGAAAGAAATGAGAGTCATGTTCTTCACCATTTGCCTTTTGCTGTGCTGGAGCTTATTAGCGTCTTTCATAGCAGCTGCTTCGACCTTCTCCTTTTTTTTCTGTTCCTTCGCGGCAAACTTAGCCGCTTTCTTAAGTTCACGCTCTCTTGCCTGTTGAGCCTTGCGCGTGCCCTTCTCCTGTTCTTCGTCCCGCTATTACCTGTTGAGTATCTACTCCGCAGTGAAGGGCGGGAGGGCTCACCCGCTCTTGGGACGTTCTACGCTTGCGTTTTGACTTAGTCTGAGCCTTGTTCGGGCTCGATGATGCAGACGCTAGAGGCATCTTGACTGCTTCAGTAATAGAAGGAAACGCGTGAATAAGATGGAGACAAACGCTAGTGGGTGACGATGACTGAGATTTGGTCTTTTTACTAGGAGACGCGTCGGCGTCGCTGCTTGTGCTCTGTGAGAACCTTCGCTTACGCAACTGGGAAAGAAGCTCTGGTGTTGGTAGATCGGAATCACTGTCGTCGTCGAGTGTAGTGGTACGAAAGGTGGGAGGGTCATCATCGTCGGTTAGCGTCAAATCTATGGCAACTGGCGAAGACAGGCGAGGCTGAGATGAAGAAAGAATTTGGCTTGAAGGGGGTAGATCATCATCAGAGTCGGTGTCGCTGAGCACTACAACTTCGCTGTCGAGAGTGAGCTGACTGCTTGATGGAAATGAACATTGGAAAGGGCGCTCGTAGTCGTCGTCGTCGTCATCATCAGAAATATCCCAGATATCAGGGTAGTTCGAGGACGCCATCTCTTGGACGGTGGATACGGTGAAACACGGTGCACGTGGTGGCTGTGCATAAACGCGCTCTACTAATTAATAAAATAATCTCAAAATAATCTCGTCCACCTTTCTCTCTGCGATACCTAATACCTCCGCGAAAGCACTATGTCAATCCATTATTTGCAGTATGGGTAGAAGAAAAACTGATTCAACTGAAAGAGAATACACCAGGTAACGTATAGTCCACGTTTGGTCGAGTATACTATGATTTTCACGCTAGACTCAAATCTTTGCTTTACGTACGGAAAGGCACTCAGAAGTATACGAGAGCATCTAGATCCTGTTGACATTCATTCGTCAGACAGCTCAAGTATGTCGGACCCAAAATCGTCGACTTTCTCAAGTAGAAAATGGAGCAGAATGTCGGCAGTAGCACTTAACTCCCAGCATTGGCGCCAAAAAAGCGTGACAGGCAGCCGAGCAAGAAGGCTGCCCAAAGGCGAGATGATGACAGTTCAATCGCTGGACCGTCGACGGGAAAACGATCCGAGAGCTCACGAGACCCCTCAGAATCTCGTCCCGGCAAGCGTCCTGCCTATCCAGACAGCGATTATTTCGACCTTCCCAGCGTACCATCACAGTTCTATATCCCTCACGATATCTTTCAGTTCTGTTACCTTGGTGTGTTGGCTTCAAAGTTTCCACTGCATCTATTTATTGACTTGCTACCGAGACAACTCTGACCGCCCTGTAAGCGATCGTAATGAAGCGCACGTTGGAGGATACTCTGTGCAAAATTCATATCGCTTGGGCTACAAAGTTCGATATCTAGTGGGGCGTGAATATGCCATGCAAGAACGGCTATATGATTCAAAGCCTTCGGGCGACGGGAAATCAGCTACCGCCTTTGTTGATATTGAAGACTCTGACTGTTTTGCCATATCGACTCTGCCGCTTGAGGAATTTGCGCAGCCGTCCCTTTCCGAACTGTTGTCAGCGGAGACTGCTGGACAACGTGGAATAACATATTCTCTTGATCTTAGCAGGCAGGGCCAGACGTCGTATTCCCGCGCGAACACATCGACAATCATTTCCACTACGAAAAGGCCGAAAGTTATCGAAGAGAAGCTCAATCCTCCCTACCAGGTGACAGCCTCCCGTTCCAGTCTGCAAAAGATTGGGCCATATTCTCAGCCTTCTGCACAAACATCCCCACCTAATCCCCCACCTATGATGGCGAGCAATGGTATTTCGTCAAGCCGCGTTACATCTACACTGCGTCATACACCTCCTAAGAGTATTCCACCAAATATCTTGGGTGTAAGCACGTCTCAGAGAGATGCAGGTCCGGGTAGGATCAGTGATTGTCCTGTAGCAATGGCGCGCTCCCACACCACGCCGGTATTGAATCCGACGGGAACTAGGACGCATAAGCGATCTCGACCGTCCCACGCCATTCCAAATCTTCCTCCTGCCCAAACCACCGACAACGCCTCCGGTGATCCAAGCAACTTCATTTCCTTTGATCCAATCATATTTGCAGCTCAGACTTACGAGATTGTTTTGATTATGGATACTCGGGAAATAAAGGATCAACAGATTATTTCAAGGTACAACTGGAGAAGGGGGGCATCAAAGTAGAGGTGCGCGTTCTGGTTCTAGCCGACGCCTGCTGGATTGCACGGCGGAAGTATCCAGCAGGCAACGAGATGGATGAGGTGGTTCTCGACGCCATCGTGGAACGGAAAACATTGAGAGACCTACACCAAAGTATCGTCAAAGATAAGCGGTTTCATAAGCAAAAGGTGATCTTTGCATCTTTCCGTGTTTCTGCCATCTCATCATTTTGTAAAGTTTCGTTTACACCAGTCTGGTATTACGCACGTATACTACCTCGTTGAGAATTACAGTGAGCAAATTACTTTTTCTCATTCATATTCGATGACATAATTCAGTGATGGATCACGCTCTCAAGGAATTTGAGCTTCAGATCAATACGGCGCTATCTTCAACGCAGATCGTTGATGGTTTCATGGTCAAAGAGACGCGCGATATACAGGACACAATCACCTGGTATGTTGGTGTACACGAGGGTCTAATAGACGTTTACATGGTTGGCGCTTTCTCCTGCTGTTCCGGACTTCGTCCCATCCATGACCTGTTTTAGGACAAAGACCTACACATCATTCCCTCAGCAGCTATTAGACGGCACAGCTACCTGGACATGCAAAAGATGCTCCGAGAACGGCATCACGATCGCGTGTATCTGACGACATTTACCCAGTTTCAATCTCTGAACTCCAAGAACGGGTTCAAGACTGAGCACTGTCTGGGCGAAGATGCTATTGAGCGTGCATGGTTTAAGTGCAGAAAAGGTGGGCGCTATCCTCAACAAATACCCTACCCCGACGAGTCTATATGTAGCATTTCGCGAGGCGGAAGATTTGCAACAGGCGATGCAACAGTACGAAGACAGCAATGGTGGTCCGCAAGTACCGAAAGGAAGGCGGAAGGCTAGGAGCAATGTACCTAAGGCGGAGCTGCTGCCGGCCGATATAAACCGAGAGTGTGGGAGACCCATTGGGGACGTCTTGAGTAAAAAGATTTACACGCTGTTGATGTCAGCGGATTATAGCTCTGCTGAGTGATCTTGGACTTTACTTGTCGTCGATTATCTTCATTTTTGGTAGGACTGGACGCCAGACCGAATTAAAATTCATATCTTGTACCCATTTCGTGGCTCTGAGAGATAACCTTCGTCACGCAAATCAGAGGTCGGATACCGTTCTGGGCTGCCTTTGAAGGTGCATCACGAATTATAAGTCTCCTTCCGTCGGAATCAAACTTTGTACTTGGTGGTACCTTGGCTCCGGTTTGAGCTACTGCTTGTCTGTCTTTAGGAAATTCATCATGTATTAGATGATGAGAAGTTCATCCTTGCAAGCGAATCCAGAATGACCTGCCGAAAATCGAAAGGTTGCAAACTTGCTATACAGACAGTCTCTTTCAAATTTCTTTGTTACAATGTTCTTTATTGACGGACGAAGATGTGGGGTTCCAAAAGTAGCAATATCTCGACTTATTCCCAGACTTATGGAGATGGACAAAGGCAACGTCGGGTTGTTAGCTAATGCCCGGTTCCCATTTTCCATTGATATAAAGGGCTCATTCATCCTTTGATCCCTTTCATCTACGAACGACTCGAATATTCCTCGCAGCTCTGGCCAGCTTGTTACGTTTCCTTGGACGCGATTTGCGGTCCAAAACACTCTTTCATCACCTTTCCCTTGTAAATCATGAGAACATTCATTGTATCCTACCGTGTTATTAAATTCGGGGTATATGGTCAGTGGCATTTTCTATCAACTCTCCCTGTATGCTAACTTCGTCCGTTCCAGTCCTCATCTGTATCGTGAATGTGGCCATGTTGGCTTTGTTGATGGCCTCACTTATTGTTGGGTCTATAGGATGTATGTCGTCTCCAAATTCAACAAAGTCTGGCTAATGAGTGAATCACTGCACTAGTGATAGAGGGTGTTGCGATTCTGTTAAACGGGCTTCCACCTGTCGTTACGATGTATACAATGTTATGGAGGTACCACAAATACGAGTGGTGGTCTAAAGATGAAATTGAAGAACTATCAAAGGTTCGCAGTATGGTGACATTTGGCGTCCTCTTTGTGATTACTTTAAGTGAGTCCTTCATTCAAACTTGCATTCCCCCTCTGGAATTCTGATGTACATTATAAATATAGCATCGTCGATTCTATATACTGTTCTCGAAGTACAGGGACAGCTGGTCGAAAGCTTTTCCGCGCTTTCGAACTCGAACTCGTTGGCCGTTGTTCTAGTTGTTCTGTCGTGGGTTTCACCACCAGCAGGTGCATTTCTCTCTTGTCTTTCTATATATCAAGGACTGATAGGAAAATATAGTTGTTATTGGCTTCGTTGTCGCGTACAAAGAAAACTTGCAGTCCCCACCTATCGTCCGACCTCCCCGAATGGTGGGCAGATTTTGTAATGATGATGCGAACATTTCTCGGACGCACTCCATGGTACTGGGTCACGTAACCACAGAGTACAAAATAGGAAGCTTCACTAGCTGGGATCCATCAAAGACTCATAGGATGGTCATACTAAGGGCACAACTAGAAACAAAATGTCAAATTCCAGAGCGATAGACCACTGTGACATTAGACTAGAGACTGGGATTATTTTTCTCATTCTTGCTTCTGTCACGTTGCTAAATGCATACATAAAGAACTTAAGTCAAATTGCCTATGGATCGGACGATGCATCAAGTCCGACAACAGAATTTAGCAGGTCATCGTTGGTGGGCTTCCACTCAAAAGCAGGTTCTCCTTCTATGTCACAATCGATATTGGTTACGGATTCAGATATATTCCCGTTTTCGATGCATCCGACATCTAAGGGCGAAATTTGAGTGCTCAATGGCAGTACTGAGGGTCCGGCGGTAGACAGTGAACGTTGCGAGACTTGAAGAGCAACAGTAGGCGTACGGTCATCATCCGGCAAGATCGATATACCGGCGGGGCCAACTATATAATCCAAGGACGCTGGTGAAGATACGGAACTGAAAATAATGCTCAGTCGTCGGATGAGGGTCGCTTGATCGGTTTCGGAGTGAGTTAGCGTTGAGGCACCTGTCGCACTCCAGTCATCAAGTTTTAGGCGCTTTTCCGCGAAAGAATCCTGTGGATACCTGCGTCGACTTGTGCGAGAGAGCTGGATACGAGCGTTGACTTGGTTTGCCCAAACCAGACCCAAACTAGCTTCTTTCCTATCTTCCCCGTGTATACTGTCAGCGCAGCTGAACCAGCGAGATTGATCACTGTACAAAATGTTGTCGTCGTTTGCCTCCACTGGCTCTGGATCAAACGCGTCTACCACCTCGTTGAGAACAACAACTGCAATGTTATATTTGCTGGAAAGAATATGAAGTAGAGAGGACACTTGAGCGATGTCCCTGGACCTCTGGACCAGCGTCTTTGTGGTAGTTTTGTCTGTGGTATGGAACAATTCACCAAGGGCGTCGATGACCAGGAGTTTCACAGGCTTCGTTGCAGAATCTGCGAGCTTTGAATCTACAAACTGGGGGAGTGTGATGGATAGGACATGGATTAACACGGGTATCGTAGGGCACGACATTGTGTGAACATCGTGGAGTCCACACAGCGAAGGAGAGAGTAACGGATGGGCATCCAAGATGTCGAGCAAACGCGCCGTTGGAAGCACCGAGGACGTCGTCAGATAGCAAGTTGAGCCCAGAAGGCCTCCAAGCCTCGACGGTATCTGCACCAGCAGGGAAAGTTGCAAGGCCAGTTGGGTTTTTCCAGCCGCACTGAGAAAAAATAAGACTTGCGTCCTGGATGAGGGATCGAAGACGACGAACCTTTCACCAACAACCTCCCATAGCATTCCTGTCCGTATCCCACCGCCTAGGGCACCGTCGAGGTGCTCATCTCCCGTCGTAAACTTCTCCTCGCCTTCATGCACAAGCTCCTTTAAGGATTGGATTCCACACAGATCCTCTTGAAACAGAATCTGGACGATTCTCTTGGCCTCCAAGGGTGAAATTCGGCACCTCCGAGCCAGTTCTTCAGGCGGAGCGAAAAGTACATCGTCGGGAGTCAGATAATTTCCTGCTCGGGCCGTTAGCATCAGCATCGTCGGTACCTGGTGGATCCTATACCTTTCTTAAGAGCAATCCGTTGTACGTCAAGAAGTTTATCAAAGGGAGAAATGATGATGGTGCCCATAGAAAGCGTTATTTGCACAAGAGGAAAGCAGAAAACAATGACGCATAATTTATGAAATCCTCCATAACAGACATAGATATATAAGCCCAACCTGCTCGGATTTCCCTCACCGCTGCCGTGATGCTATAGCAGTATCCGAGTTCGTCCGCCCCAAGAGACCACCAACAACATTGGATACAGTTTCAGTGATCTGACGCTGCTGAATCTGCGAGTGCTTTACGTAGAACAGACGGACACTCGTCGAGTTCCATACTCCTAAAGGAGTCATGGCTCGAACGTAGATTTCTCCCCATATTAAAGAAGTCAGCCATACGATGGAAGCATCTGACCACTGTTCGTACAATAAGAAAGACTGGGACTAACAGAAAGGAAAAGAAATTTACCAGGAATTTCCGAGGCGTTAAGGGATTAACAGGAGGTAACACGTCCTTCAGAGTTACTGACCCTAAGAATTCCAAGACCGTAGACGTCGAATTAGCTTTGTGCCGTGATGCTTGAAGTTCTTGGACTTTAGGTAAGAGCTCAGATATAATCAGCATTACCGGATCTAAGGGTAAGCTAGACGACAGGTGCATTAGTAAAAACGTCCCAATTGCTGAATGAATCAATTTACCCTTCCTGCCAAGACGATACCTGCTGAACACGCGTCAGAAATAATTGTCGATTGTTGCGGGAAACACAAACCCAATCATGAGTAGGTATAAAGCCGTTCCTTCCAGTACCAGAAGCGGCCACCCGCTCAAGGCTGATGGTAGTATCGGATGATAGGGAACGTCTCTCCTTCATTTTACCTCGAGCCTTCTCAGACACCGACGACGCAGGATCTGCAGCCATCTCCGTTGGTATAGACTCAGCAGTCGGCGACATCGGTGGGACAACCACTGTTTCTGCATCGTGATCGGGGGAAGCCGTGACTTCCTCCAGCTCGTCTTGAGACTCGTGCGAAAGAAGCCGTTCCTTTTCACTACGCGAAACAGGCCCTTCCGCAGATTCTCTAGAAGTTTTTATAGTAGTCTTACGGCTCTGCTCCTCCTTTGCCAGCTGGACACGCCTGATTTCTCGTAATCCTTGGGAAAGCGTAAACGTTCCCAGGTCCTCAAACGTCTTATGCGATGAAATTATGCTATATATGAGATTGGGATTCTCCGCCAAATGATGGAGGATGACAGAATTGAATACCTCCAACCTGGGGAGAGTTAGGAAAATGTGCTAGTTTGTGCAAAGTACTCACATAAAGAACAGAAGTCTAGGATGACCTTCACCGGCCAAAAGAAAGAGGGGATTCGAGAAGGACGTGAACAGCTGGATCAACCTAGCACTAGACGTCACGCTCAGGTTTTTGAAATAGGGCGCCAGATTCGACAGTGCGATAATGAGGGCAGGATACAGCGAATTGAGAGACCCAGAAGTGGTTGCCACCACAGAATAAATTGCCTTTGGTATGGTAAGAACGACTGTGAGAAAAGAGGTTACTACCGTACGTTGATCATGAAATCAGCAGCAGTTCCCGGCACGCTCCATTTTGCAGGAAGTTGTATTCTGATAGGCGATGCGAATCTGTTTCCAAGTGCGGGTTCTGCTGAAAGCGTTTGAATGATGTACGAAAGTGTTCTACATAGTCCATGTTGCTCTATGACACTTTATGAGCATGTGAACCGCAACGAAGACCGAAGGAAACACACGAGGCTTGTCTTTGATTTCTAAATTGTAGCACAGAAGATGGGCCATGAGATCCGTGGCCCTGTCCATGTCCAAAACAAACGCGCGGAATTTCTGTATTTGTTGGATCAACTTGGGTCGCACCTTGATCATTGGCGAAACACTGACTTTATTGAGTTCAATCATCTTCCATAGAAATAGTACTAATACAACATTAGCATCCAGAGTCATATCAAGATGAAACTCACCGATTTCTGCGACGTAAGGTATAGATTTCCTTGCGCCGGGAAGTAAATTGTTTACGCTAGCCAACTGTTGATTCATGACGCCGAGTATACCATCCAAAATAAAGTTGAAATCCTGCGTGCGATGCTAAATCCCAAAAAAATGAGCGCAGTGTGTTCCAAGGTGGAATGAACACCCACGAGTTTCATAAGGAAATACCGGAAAGAGTTGGTCTTGGCGGTAGGAACAGACGTCTGGTTTTCCGAGGTCCCAGTGAGGACATCTCTCGCACTGCCACTCTGAAAGTCAAGAATAGCCACCAAAACCTGGAGGCACATGCCAACAAGAGTTGATCTAGGGTCTTCACCCTTGAACACGAGATGGTTGTAAGGTAGCCGCCCAGTCATGCTGGTATTGACCGAGTTCATAGATGTATTGAGAAGCGAGCACAGAATAGTGAGGACATCACGCCGGGGTGTCTTCTGAATGAGGTGGAGGGTGTACAGGGAGGGCTTCGAGAAGAGTGACGATGGCGGGACATATATCTGCCTAGAAAGGAGGACGAGGAGAAGGCGCAGAACCTCGGTCTTATTATTATCATATTGGCTGTTGATGCCGAGGTCCACTGTCGATCCAATACCCTTTTCCCTTGGTGTATTTCAGCGGGAGAGAACGACTCTGGTGGGAAAGCGTAACAAATACCAAATGACATAGTTAATCTTGTGGTGGTCAACTTGAATTTTGGTCGGCAGTGTGAATCCGCAACAGAACAAGAGATCTATGATGCAGCTGAACAGCTTCTCCCCCAACGAGGGCATCGTTTTCGTCGGTCTCGGTGGTGTGCTCTCGGCTTCGTCCTCGCTATCGTCCTCGTCCTCAATCACAAACTGGGAGGTCCCTTCGTCCAGGGACTGCTTAACTTCCTGTCTCTTCCAAAGGACCTCAAGCTCAAACACACTCGACTCACCTTCCACCTCAAAGACCACTGGCAAGACGCGCTGCAAGACGCGAAGACAATTTAATACTTCCTTTGTCGTGTTACGGTCGGCGGACCCAGTGGCGTTTATGAACGACGATGCAAGTGCGGTGACAGACGCATTGGAAGCGGGGGGGAAGGTGTGGTCCGAGACGAGGTTGAAGAGTCGAGAGGTGACCACACGAATGAGGGTCGCGATGTTCTCTGGAGCATCTAGAAGGGCCCGTCGGACTATATAGGTAGTGAGCGATGAAATTTGTAGGTTAAGCAGCTTTCCAATACCGTCGTTTGGTGTAATAAGAGAGAACACTTCTGACGCAGAGTCGAAGAGGCTGATATACTGCATCCTTCTACTGAGTTCATTGTCAAGAATTAGGATAAGCGGCACCTACCTGGTCCCAGTAGGTATCGCTCTCCGGTATATTCTAAGCAACATAAACTCGAGTCCTGGTAGCTATTGAAACCAGACTCACCCGCACTGTCGCCAATTTGGAGAGACCGCCTGGCTGGCTGCGGAATCCGAGCTTTTTCTCGTCAGGAAGCAGGCCAAACGGTGACGCGAGCTTCTGGGGTATCCTGGAGAACATGTCGACCGCAGCGTCGAACGTGGAAGCAAGTCAAGGAGTTTTGCACAGCCACTTGCTGATCATTCCCTTGATGCGAGGATTTATTTATTTATTTAATTTAAAGGTTAAATCAAATCCGAGCGATGAAAAACGCGGTTGCAGCATTTTGTCATGAGAATAGAAGCAGGAGAAGCCGAGGAATGTGACCCCTTGGTGAGTCCATTTTGCCCCGAGATTACCGAAACGCCTGACATGCTACCCCCGTCCTTTGGTCTGGAAGGTGGCTAACTGAGAAACCGCAAAGAAAAAATGCTATTGTCAACGTCCAAAGCAAAGAATCGCTACGAAAAAGTACATGGTTCTAAGTACGGTATCTACTAAAGTGCGAGGACAATTACGGCGCCCAATACTGCAAGAGGAACACTAGCAAGGAGCTTCAAGGCTGACGACGATTGAGACGAGGTCGCCGTCGTAGAGGCGGACATGGAGGTAGGTGCAGCAGTGGCAATGCCATTGACACCACCAGTGACCGCTCCATTATCCTTTTCCTAATGGCAATAGTTAGAACTAGGGGCGGGAGGGGGAGGAAATGGGGGATAGTTAGTACCTGAACTTCAGAGCTACCGATGCTCAAGGCAGCAGCTCGGAAGCTGTCGTAGGTGTTGCCGGTGGGCGGGGCATTGACTGAGCCCACCATGCCCATACCGCAATGTCCTAGCTAGGGGAGTGTTAGCTTGGTGCTGTGAGATAAAAGTAGGACAAACCTGCTTGCAATGGAACCAGATGGCTACAAGGGCTGAGAAAGGGAATAGTATGTACATAAGAGGGGACCTACGCTGTGTATCGTCGGTGATGTTGATGGAAAACTGAGTTCCTGCAGTGAGACCAGAGTCGAACCCGCCAGGGGACGAGCCGTTGGCCGCGAGAAAGGTGCAGGGAGCAGCAAATGAGGACTGGGTGACAGAGTGGGTCAGACCGTTACTACAGCAGAGTCAGACCACGGGAAGGGAAGAAGAAGAAAAAAAAAAAGAAAGACTTTGGGAAGAAGAATGTGACCAGGGTTCCGTTTGAAGCGGTAACATTGGCGGGGTGAAAGACAAAGCCCTCGTTGAAGGCGACGTCGACGTTGACGTGACCGGGAGTGTCTGCTGGAGCTGAGGGAGCAGCAGCAGCAGAAGCAGAGGTGGTGGTAGCAGGAGAACCTGCACCGCCGCCATAGAGCTGAGCAGAGACAAGAGAGCCGAGGGAGAGGAAGAGGGAGGATTGAATGAGGCAGAACATTACTAGGGAATACCACGCTGGCTGTCAGTTTTAAGTGATCCATGAGATAATGCACAGCCAGAAGATGGTGTAGAGCCAATAGTGAGTGAGATGCGTGTAAAGTAGGACTACTTTTTAGTAGGAGTGGGTGTAGAATTCGAGACCAAAAGCAGAACATTGTCTAAATTTAGAGGGAAAAGAGGCGTGGAGATTTCTGACCAAAAGCAGTCAGTTGGCATGCATCGTCGAGGAGGAGGGATCGCGGCACTGCAGCGTCAAGAACAATCACAACGGTCGTTCGTTGAACTTTCGCACGCCCTTTCAGAGTCGCAGGTAGATCACCTCCACGCTCAGCTCACTCACTTTCGTACCGCCCTCGCCCGCTTCGCCGCCACTCACCGCCATTCCATCCGTCGGGATCCCGCCTTCCGCCATGCTTTCCAGCAGATGTGCTCCTCTATCGGTGTAGACCCCCTCGCTGGCCCGCGAAAGGGCGGTTGGTGGGCAGAGATGCTGGGCATGGCTGACTGGCAGCACGAGCTCGGCGTACAGATCGTCGACGTCTGCGTAACCACCCGCGACCGCAACGGTGGCCTCATTGACATCGCAGAGCTCATCAGGCTCGTCACCAAGCTCAGAGGCCTCGCAGACGGCGCCATCGATGAAGACGATGTCATCCGGAGCATCAAGACTCTCCAGCCCCTCGGCGCAGGCTACCACGTCGTCGATATTGCAGGTCGCAAGATGGTCCGCAGCGTCGTCAAGGAGCTCGACCACGACCAGACCGTCATCCTCGCCATCGCCACACAGCTTGGAGGCAGGATCGTACCAGATGTCCTGATAGAGCGCGCCTCCTGGTCTCATGATCGGGCCGCTGCTGCTCTCGAGAATATGCTCACCAGGGACGGTCTCTGTTGGGTCGACGACCAGGACGAGCTGTCTGGTAGAGCCTACTGGGTTCCATCTGCAATCAAGTGGGACGAATAATGTACACAATAGTATCAAGTCATTCCATGCGCCCAAAATCTCACCGTCTTCACTTCCAGGCTCTGTACATTCACCAGTACCACCGTTCCCGTCCTCACAAATTCAGGAACAAGCACCAGTCGACAACGTCTTCCTTCCTCTGTCACCAGCTTCGTCCCAAACTTTTTCTGTCCCCCTACAATATACAAATCCGGCGTTTCTCTCATAATAAACGGATCTGCCCCAAAGTACGGATGGCACCACAGCGTATCCGGTGCTGTAGGTGCCATGTGTCTCCAGCTAAGTGTCGATGCTAGAATAGATAGCCGCGTGCTCGGTGGGCAAGGCAGGTACTTGAACATGTCGTTCAACGGTTGCCCCGAGTTCACCAGCATCGTCCGTGTCACTCCTTTGCTACTTCCAATACGCATATACGTTGGATTCGTCTCGCATCTGAAGGATGGTAGTGATGCCACCGGTCCTAACATGGCCCGTGGAAACGGCTGTTGAGGTAGGATCGTTCCCGAGGGATCCGTTTCACCCGGTAGAATATGGATAGGCATTACCCGTCCGATATCGTACAAGTGGCCAGCAAGTGTTTGCGTCGGATGGGGCGAAAACGTAGTCGTATCGTAGTTGTACTTGCTCCGCTGTATTTCTTATTTAGAACAGATATTTTTGTACATGGAAATAGCACTTGCCGATTTCTTCTCATCCCCTTCAGCAGTGGGCTCGCCTTTGACGGGAATCACCACCGGTGCCAGTGAATTCCCTGCAATCACAAGTCGAGATATACGAGCCGCTGATGCCTGGTCTTCAATACCGCCCTCCTCTCCCGTGAGATACTCTACGAGCATCTGCAGCGATACGTCCGGTAATGAAGGCGAGCCGATGCTGAGACCAGACACTACCGCTATCCATTCGTCGGCACCATCTAGCACCATCATATCCTCATCCTCAGACTGGGGAGGCAGTCCAGGATAACATAGATCCACTACTTCGAACTCTCCGTTGGGCGTCTCCACTCCGAGCGCACCTACAACAACACCAGTCACTAGCCGCGCTGCCTTGACGCGGTCGCCAACGAGTTTTAACCGTCCAGACTCGTCTTCGAGCAGAACGCTGTCTTCTGGTGAGCAATATTTTGGAGGTGGTGGGGGCGGGGGTATGGAATGCTAAAACGACGTCAGCTCCGTAACCGTAGCAAGGAAATCATTGCTTACATCCTGGGCAAGGTCCTCCAAGACATTCGGCTTCAGTGGCATGTCCATGTACACCGTGCCGACGACATAGCATAGTTGCGATTTGACGACCTCGAGGACGCGTCGGACGAGACAGGGGTTTCCTGCACCAGCCATTAAAATAAAACACCATTCAGCCACAGTCGGACAATACACACCTTCGACACTCGCCCACCGTCTCAGCGCCCTTTCCTCCACGGCCTTTCGCAGTTCGTTCAGTCGGGTAAAATAGATGTTGGAGTATTGGTGCTTGTAGGACTTGTTGGCATCGCCGATTCGAAATGAGGGCGTCGCGTCGGTAGGGTCGAGGATGGAATTCGTACTCCGGCAGGGCGTTGTGGGGACCGGTCTGAAAGACATCAATTGTGCCCTTGCTTTAATCGTGGATGCACTTACAGGTCGTCGATTTTCACTTTGCCCATGTTACGAGGTGATGGCAGGAGTCAAGACACGACGCGATGTTTGTCCTCGCTATTTTCTGGCCCGAACTCCACGAGCCTATCTCAAAAAAATAAAAATAACGGATTCAAATAACACTGAATTTTGCTTCTTCATATCGTACACATTTCAACTATCAAGTACTTGCACCACACCTCGTTCTGTTATGTCATTAGCAAGGCTTTGCGTAGGTGCCATTTGATTCGCTTCCAGCTCCCTCGTCCAAGGTTCCATGCTTTTGTTCCGTCTTACCAAATGCATACTCCAATGCGCTGAGAGCATGCGCTGGACTATCCTTCTTCATGAGATTTTCGGTGATTTCAACCTGCCCGATTCAAATATCAGCCTGATCCAAAGAATATAGTAACGTGTACGCTTACGACGTCAGTGACAAGACCCTCAACAAGCTTGGACAAATTTAAACTTTGTAGATGGATAAACGACCGGTTTACGTACCGTAGCAGTCATGCTGTCGCGAACGACAACACGAAGGATTTGGACATTCTCCAGGTTGGGAGCAAGTTCGTAGTTGGGAACAATCCTAGAGCAAAGTAAAAAAAAAATGTTTGGGACCATTACATTCCAAGACCTACCATCCTTTCGCACGCAGGAGGGTTTGAATCCAGCGCTGTTGAATATCGGGATACCGCTTTTGGAACTCATCCGTGAAGCGGAACGACACTACAGGAAGTCCTGGGATGTAATTCTATCCAAGCGTCAGGCACGTACATCATCCAAATTGCAAAATAGACGTACCTCTACTTTGCTATCGGTGCCGACAGCGTGCTTTCCAGTGGTCTGTACATTAGGAGCGATCCTGTGGATATCACTCAGGACAGTGTAGTACCCGCTATTCTCCAATGCTCGACTGAGAAGTCGAGCATTTTCCAGGTCGTTCAGTGCGATGGTTCTGTAGCCTTCAAATCCGAGATGAATGAAATTGAAGTACTGCGCAATGATATGTGCAGCCGGGCGGGAAAAGTTAAGGGAGAAGGAGTATTCGACCGATCCCAGGTAGTGAAGCTCAAAGATGAGATCTTTAGGCAGATGGGCCTTGTCTCGCCATACAACAAACCCAACTCCGCAGTAGACACGGCCAAACTTGTGACCGCTGTTTATAAATAGTAAGCGGAACCACTCGACATACCAGCGTCGCACTCACGAGGTGTTGATAGACACAACTCGGGGAATTCTGAAGTCCCACACCAGCTGCGGCTATAACACTATAAGCAAGATGGAGGAAACGAAATACAGCTTCCTCACCGTCGCGAATGGTGCAACGAATCCGCCAGACGCCCCATCAACTAGAGGCTGTGTTATTTCTAGATTCAATCGTGCTATTGTTGTCGCGACATACCATGAATGGGAACGGAATTCCCAGTCTCTGCTTCGTATTTGTCTAGAAGATCTGCCATTTCTTTGACGGGTTCATAGTGCCCGGTATAGGTGCCTACAAACGGGTCAGCAGCAGAGTCACGACACTATAATTAGGTCTTACTTCCTAGAATGACGTAAACGCCAATAGTATTCTCGTCGACGTATTGCATTGCAGCCTTCGGGTCAAGTCTGTAGCTGCTCTCGACGGAAACAGGGACGAGACGACATTCGACTTCAAAGTAACGAGCGAACTTTTCAAGTGCAACTTGTGCGTTGGCCCCCATGACGATGTTAGGGCTGTCAGATCGATCAATGATCGCGTTTCCATTTCGAAAGTGACGCGCCTACCCAGGCTCATGAATGCTCTTTCCGGCAGCTCTGCGCTTCGCTTGCCAGATACGCTTCATGGCCAGACCTCCAAGTTGAATAGCTTCAGAAGAACCTGTTGTCGCGGTCCCAATAGCCTGCTTCGCCGAAGGAGCATGCCATAGACTGGCGAGTATGGAAATGCCTTTGGTCACAGGTTTATCAAACAGATGTGAACGCCTGAGAAGAGGACTTACATCGGGTGTGCAGAAGCTCTGGAAGTTGTGATCAGTGAACGTGAAAAGGAAGAGGGGAAGCACGTACGAGTTGCGGGATATTCATCGCAGTCTTGGTCCACACATATCAGAAACTAGCATATGCCCAGATCCAAAGCGAAACATACCTATCAGATTCTTGTTGATGTTCTCTTGGATGAGCTTGTCGGCAGGAGAGGGCATCCAAGTCGAAACAAAGGATGCCAAATTCAACACGGGGTTTCCATCTGGCGGAATGCATCGTTAGCGCTAAGGCCAGAAAGGTAGCAACGAAGTATACGTCACCTAGCGTGAGCTCATCATGAACAAGCTGATAAGCTGATTCGGCATCCAGTCCCTGCAATAGTTCAAGGGTCAGCAAATATAGCGCAGCAGCAACGAGGTCCAATGTGCCTTGGAAGCAAGATGATACTTTGGGATGGGATTGGTACCATATCGCGCGCCGTACGAGTGCTGAACGAGGTCTGGTTTTGTATGTGTCAGCGAATGAACATGAGACTTTTTATCCTAGGAATCGATGAGCGCGCCGCGAGATGAAGAAAGGACGACATCGGCATACGTGAGATTGCTGGACGAGGTGCTCCGGGTTGACGTGCTAGGAAAGGGATGAGAAGCTGGGTTAGGTGTGGGTGAGAGCACGGACCTTGGTGAGCATGATGGGAAGAAAGAAAGGGAGATTGGATGCATTTCGGTAACGAGGGTCTTATATGTAGGCGATTCACCAGAAATAGAGCTCACGTGAAATTGATGAGGTCATGCGTATGATGCAAACGATAATACATTTACGGGTAGACAAGGCGACATTTACATTTACTTAAACCGAGTCCTGACCTAGATTACCTCTCTCCCCTGCAGCTCCTCGGACTGCCCCCCACTTATTCCTAGCACCGTGGCATCTCCTGGTGTACTAGCATATGCTTCCTGACCGCAGCCCCCATCCTCCCTCACGCGTAAAGGGAAGCTCTGCACTTGAGGCAGCTTGTACGAAAAATAAAGTTCTTGGGTGGTGGGTGGCACAGGCATGCGGAGGAAGAGGCAGGTGGTTGAATCGGAAATCAAACAGTACCCTGAAGCATGAATTGAAATCACGTACACTCATCGATTGTCAGCGTGCCAGAGATCAGGATTGGCCCCAACAGCGGGCAAAAGAGCAGTATCATTTTCCAAAAGGCTGGATTATGCGCGCCCACCGGATGGGAACGACTCGAGGGAATAAGACTGCAGCAGTTATAAAGCTCTTGAGAAGTCCCATAGTAGTGGTGAGGAGATCGTTTGTCAGCAAAGTTGAAAGAGACAGCAGAAGAGGGGCAAAGAATGCAATCAGAGCAGCTGCGTAGATGGGTATGATTTCTGTACGAAAAGGATATGCAAGTTGTGGGTACACAACTTGACCGTCTTGGAAATATACTGGGAAAGATCTGCTGGGTGCAGAAGCTGTAATACTCGATGGGCCAATGCACGACGAAAACTTGAAAGACATACAAGCTTCATATATTCCAAGGCCCAGGGCACCCATCAGGGCATGGTGATGAGATCCTCGCCACGTAGCCTGAGCCATATGCCAAGGTGGAATACTGGTTGATGCATAGTAAAAGGATGCGACTTTACATTATGTAGATGGACTCCAGTGGGGAGAAGCAAGGGAGGAGACCAGACAAGACCAGACAGGACATTTCACACTTCAAGCAATGGTGGGCTAGCATCGTGATAAACAAGTCAAGTAAGTCAATAAACAAGCAGCAAGGTATTAGACCAAGTTCAGCCAGTTCCACTAACAAGAGTCTGAGAACAATGGGAGTGGCTGTGCATCTGCTTGTACTCGTTAGGCACAGCAGCTTGGACCTTCTGAATAATAAGTCAAGTAAAGAGAACTTGCACTCCCTCTCTATTCTCTTTGCTATCACATCCTTACAACTCACACCGTGCAAATCTGCTTACTCGAACGTGATGCTCGACTCTTCCCCAGTGGCATTGCCTCCAGTGCCTCGCCCACTGAAGCGGTCGTCGTCGACGGCGTCGCTCCCTACGCCTCCCCGTACCCACCACAAAAGGCGTACAGCGCGCTCCAAGGCATTTTCTGGGGAAAGTGATGGAGGTGATACTGCTGATAGTGGCGATCAAGTCGTACGGTTGAACAAGAAGCGGCGCATCAGCGACATCCAGGAGGAAGAGGAGGAAGACTTCGACGACGAAGACATCTTTTGGGCTGGTGGGAAGAGCACAAAGGCAGCAGGAAGCTCGTCCGAGACCAAGAGCGCTTCAGTAATACGACGATCAGAGTCGCCTGTTGGTTCTCCTCTACCGTTGCTCTTCCGCAAAAGAGAACGAGCACAGTCGACCTCTTCCCTTGTCTCACCGCCGCCTTCATTCCGAAAGGCCAAGACTGCACCTGCAAAGGGCCCCCTTTTTCTGTCGGCGAGTCCAAGCAACACGTCACCACCACGGACCCCAAAAAACAAAGCTCAGTGCCCCATCCGAGATCCTTCCAACAACCCTTTCCTGGATTCACCTGGTGGCCTCGACGATGCTAGTGACAACGACGATGATACTACGTCGTTGTCCGAGCGGCCTTATGAAGAAAAGCCTACCGTTACATTCGTTTAGTAAGCAACTCCTGCAGCCCCTCACTATTCGCGTTATTGACTTTACACGTCCAGTCGCGGCGTTCGAAAGACGTTTCCAAACCCCTACTATGATCCCGTCAAGAAAGGCCCCGTGTCTCCCACTCCCAATTCTCTGCTTCCACCGGAGCACATCGACTTCTCCCCCGACCTAAGGTGCCCTCCCAAAGTCCTGTTCCCTAAAAAGAAACACCGGAAAAGTACCAAAGTCGGCACAAGCAAGGCATCCGCTGTGCTTTCTGACGTGTTTGCAGATGATAGCGAGAGCGAGGTCTCGCTTGAGGTCCAACCCACCAAGCTGTTTGCTGATGAGTTGAAGGCCACAGAACGATCCAAGCGGTAGATGTTGGCCCATGAATCAAATGCTCTTTGGCATTGAGTTGTAGCATCGTTCACGCTGCTGATTCCTTTCTCTATCTACCCCTCACTGACTGTTTTCTTCCAATCTTCTCTGCATCGCTTTGTCACGTCTTTTTGTGAGTGTCCCACTCGTTATTTTTGTTCTCTCATCGCTGTTTTTTCCTCGAGTCATCTTTCTTGTACATGTTCAAGTATTGTTTTGCGACACCCTTTTTATGAATATCTGCGACACCTATTTCTCTACATCCTATCCGCGTCCAATGCCATTTTCAATAATCCATTTCACATTCTCTAGATAGTTTGTTGTTGACAATGACATTCTTAAAATTTGGCACGAGATGTTTCAACCATAACATAACATACAATAGTCGATAACGGCGAGCTGGATGCAATCCGTCAAAGGCGACGTACAGAATCAGTCATCTTCATGTATCGTGATCTTGGGGCCGTCTAGTACCTGTGGCAAACTTAAAGGGACATCCTGTGAGACGTCCTGGGGCTCTCGCTCTGGGACGGGCCCAGTATCATCGCTGTCTTCGTCGCTGTCTTTGCCTGGCTTCCGAAATACCAGTTCCTTCCCATTGACGAGCCGCCGCTTCTTTATGGGCACGTCGTTGGCAACGTCGTCCCCACCTTTTCCCGGTGATTCCGTCCTTGGAGCCCCATGCGTCTTTGACCTCTCCTTCTTTTTCTGCCGCTTCGCACGGTTTTTAGCAGTCTTAGCCGCCGTTACCGCCTCAGCCTCTCGTCGTCGTCTCTCAAAATTTGCTTCATCTGTTTCCTATGCCACGCAGATAAGATTGGTCAACCTCGTCAGGGCAAAGACACGCACTTTCTGCACGGTTTCTTCAAGGAGCTTTAGTCTTTCATATTCCCGCCGCCTACTGGCCTTGTAGACGTGGAACTCTCCACTTCCTGCTCCGGCGCTGGACCCCTGCACGTTCTTCATCATTTCTCGGGCTGGACGAATTGTTTTTTCCTTCGGAGGCGGAGGAACATATGCGGCCTTTGTGGGATCTTTGAGTAGCTTGTCCAGCTGCATACGCTGCTTTTCGATGGCGGTCATAGCATGCCTGTTGACTGCAGGCCCTGAGCTGGACGCGGCAGGTGTAGTCATCGTTCAAGGAGAAGGCAAAGTGTGGTCACGTTGACATTCTTACCGGCCTAATTGCCGAATCCCGGATTTATTCATACAATGCAAATAACATATCCTATAGTAGAGATCCATTTGGTACATAATCTACAGAAACTGTGAACAGAAAATCAAGGTATACTCATGGCACCACTTAGGTCCTTACGCATGATGTTCAAAGCAATTACTGCACATGCCCCTGGGCTTGAAAGGGTTTTGTCTGAACTCCTTGCAAGTGGTAGTACTCGGAAGTGATAGATCCGACACGCTATCGAAAGGTGAGGCATCATAACCGAAGCTGCTCTTGGGCGAAGGTGTTTCCGTCGTGCTTTGCGGAGCCAACAAGCTCGATGATGATGACGATGCTGGAACGCTGGGTCGACGGGGAGGTATCTTAGGCGTTGTACTGGGAGTAGCGCTACGCCGTGGCGGCGGCGGCGGCGGAGGAGCCTTCTTCCCCGAGGCTAGAGTTGCAAGGATATCGGTCGATGATCTGTGCATCGGGAGTGCTGGAGGAGTAGGTCCCACCGTTCGGTTTGGTCCAGTATCAGATACACCGTGACGTGAGACCGACGGCATCAGGTGGTCGTCATCATCATCATCCATTATAGTACTTGAAAGACCATGGTCTGGAGGACCTCCAAAGAAAGGACTGTGGGACGGATTTAGAGGCTTGGATTTGTACGCGTCTTCTTCTTCCAGATCACTCGTTCTATATCCTTCATCCGGTGAATCGTCGTCAGACTGGAACGATGGAGCAATGTAGGCAGTATCTTCCTCGTAAGCCTTCCCGCTACGAGAACGCTTCAACAGGACCGGCTTCTTAGAGATGGCCTCCGTGTATGATGTCGGAAACAAGCCTTGTTTCCCATCCAACAAACCCATCCACCACTCGTCAAGGACCTCATTGACTACGATAATCTCATCGCCTGCTTTGAATGACAATTCATCCGAAGAGCCATTGAAATCATAAAGTGCGCGCACGATCTTTTTTTCCTGCAAAGAGGGTGGCTTTAGAATACGAGAAGGCTCCTTCGGAGTTCCATCTTTGCTTTGCGACTTCCGCCGTAGTGTCGTGGTGAAGCTCGGAGACATGGAAACTGGTGAGCTCCCTTCACTTCCCTGTATATGATCGTCGTCATCGTCCTGCAACGATGCGAATTTCTCCTTTTTCTTCCCTCGTACAGAGCCCATTGCACTGTTGGCCCAGCCAGCAACGCTCATTCTCATCGAAGAGTCTGGATTCGCCAAACTGTCCGATCGCTTTCTCGACGCTCTTGAACTCGGGCGGGAAGGTGGGCGAGAAGAAGCTTTGGCCGTACCCACAGAGTCATTACGCCGATGTGAGGCAGATGGGCGGCGACCAAATGACGACGTATTTGTCCGTTCATCGTCAGAGGAGTCTACATGCAAAGACTGAGGATTAGAGGGGCCAGACAAAGATCTCTTCTGCCCAGGGCGCTTCGGAGTCTTTGTGTTACTGGAACGAGAGAAAGTATGCATGGGCCCGTCCGCCCGACGAGGAATGACATCTGAGGTACTAGACCTATCAAGTGGTTTGATCACAAGTCCAGAATGACCAATAGCATGCCTACCATTCCGCCTGTGTCTCCTGTAGGACATCTAGGTATTGCTTCACAAAATTAACCTCACTTTCCAGAAAGTTAGTTAATTCGCGTAGCTGATCTATTTCATTTTCTTGAATGGCGTGCATGTACGCCCGCACATCTTCGGCAGCCTCCTCACTACACGACGTTGAACTCATGGAAAAGAACAGTCAAGCATAAACTCACTATCGTGCTTGTGCCCTTTCGACTTCTTCATCCGCCTCTAGTTTATCTTTCTCTTTCTTGCTGTTCTTCAACTTTTCTTGTTTCGTTAGGGCGGCATCAAGACTGAGTCTAGAGATACAAGGCATGATTAGGATCTGTCACAAAAAACAGACAAGACTTACCTTCTACTCTCTAGTTTCTTTCTCTGGTGTTCGTACTCCTTGACTTCGTTGCCAAAGCTCTCAAGTGATGCAAGGTATGTATCACGGAAAGTTAGGGCGTAAGCCTCTTGTAAAGTGGCGATCTTGCAATGAGCACGTCCGAACTTTATAAGCGATGTGCCTGTCCAATAGTAAGTATTTGACATGAGTAAAGTGGTGAACAATGAACCGAGGGCAGAATCATCTCCGTATTCTTCGCCGTGGACAATCATAACAACCCCCAGGGTGTCGATGGGCAACAATTTCTCTGGGTTATCAAGGGATTCGCTCTCTTTCTTCTTGGAGAGGGCATGATGATAATCTTCGGATGCAAGACACAGTCTATAGGGCGCATGTTGGCGATTGAACGACGAGGAGAGAACTCCGGACGCACTTTTGAGCAGCGAGCTTCCGTTTCTCTATATCTAGCTCGAGTTCACGGAATTCCTCTGTGACCGTCGCCTTCTCGCGAGAGGATATCACCTCCCCTGCCCACTATACGCAAGATGATGAAATTAGGGTCATTGCCGGTTAAAAGGTCATCAAGGACATACCTGGCGCAACTTGCCTAGCTGAATGAGCAGTTCAGTGTATTGCAAGGCAGAGTATTCACGATGGGCTTACCTGTTTACTGGCCATGATGGCAGTACAAGTACAAGCGATATCATGTATATTTACCGTAATAATTAAATTTATTCAAGGTCGGAAGCGGAGAATGCCGAAACTCTCTGATTGGTTGATGTAGCGGTCATTATTTATAAAGGCTAGATCCGTACAAATAAAAGCAAAAGACCCAGAGCTCCCGAATACACAATTCACTGCACCCCCTTCGCAGCCAACCGCAATCCCTCTTGAACTGCAACAGCCTGGGGATATAAAGTGAGTTAGAAAATAGACGGAAAACGTTGCCTTCACCTCCTCTACCCATGGCAACTTGAAAAACTCGCTCCGCCGCAGTTCTTCTTGCCTTACTGTCAAGCCCTCTGTCGGACCACTGCCCAGAATGGTCTCGAGATCACGCGATTGGGATTCCAGCCAGGTCTGTATAAACTCCGCAGGATTGTTAGCGAACGATTCCAAAAAGGTACGTTTCAAATGGGAATTATGCAGTGACTGTGCATGGAGGGCTATCTGCAATCCAAATCAGCGTCAATTTACGAGAAAATACAAATCTGTGACCTCTTCATCTAGCTTCGCAAGGTTCTGAGTGCTTTCCCTGTTCGTCTGTAACATGACGCTCATGCGATTTTTGAGGAAGACGTCTTCCGCCTTCACTTCTATATCCCAGGCAGTGGGTCGGTCTGGAGGTGGCACTGAAGGGTCGATAGTGTAGAACAGAACCACAGGGTCTGGCGTCGACAGATACTGGTTAACTACGTCTGGTAATTTTTGAAAGGGGGTACTTTCTGCGCGGAATATCTAAGGAAGAAGTGAGTGAGTATAGTGTGGTATTGGAAATGAAATCATTGTCCACCGGCGCCAGCTTTTCGTCTGCCCGTACCACCCTTCGATCCACCTTATCTTGTAGACCGTGAAGCTTGATATAGTTCCACAGTGTCTGGATGACACCGACACGGCTCTCTTCCTTAATACCCAAAATATCGCCTGAAGAGAACAACGGTCAGACAAGCTGACAAGCAATGATCTGAGCTACATGCCAAGTTCAGGGCTGACTTTATACTGCTCCGGATAATGATCTGGATATAAGATGATACGTAACTTGAGAGCTGCATCCCCGGTCCGTCGAATGGTGAACCCGTCCAAAACAGGGTTCTGAAGTCCGGTCGCACGAGGCCACTGTATTAATTCCAGGTAAGAGGGGTTTCCAGGTGAATGTCGATGACCGACCTCAACAATATTGCCTTCTGGGTACAGCAAGGGATCTCTGTCCAACTCTACAATCATCTTCTTGATAAACGTCGAAAACTTTCGCATCGGTGCCTTGTCTTTACTTCGCTGGTTCCCAACCTAGATAAAGGATATGTAAGAGCTCAGCTGTGGCTAACGCAGGACGCACGCACCTCCAACAGACGACCCTCGACCTTGAAGCTCCAAGCTGGTATGCCCTCTCCCGTTTCAAAGTTCGCCATCTGCTCACCACCAGTTTGCCAGATTTGCGAAGACACTGTATGGCTGAGAAAGAGCCGCAATGTTCGCGTAGTCTATCTCGAGAAGTGAGCGCGCCGTCGAATGCGCTGTACGATACACACTGTTGGATTCCGTGCAAGCGAGTCCTGAATTTCGACCTTCTTACGGGTCATTGTCCAGTCCAACTTGCGTTCCATTTCCAGGAGATCTTGATACATTCGTGAATCTTGGGCAAAGTCTGGGTTCTGAAGAACGACATTGGGCAGCGTTTTGTCGGTTATTTTTCGTCGCCTGAAACAAAAACGGTCATAATCAGAGAATGTCATCGTGCAGGGTTGCTTGCTTTGTGGCCTTTGCCCCATCCATTGCAGCGAAGAAGAGTTACAATTAGAATTTTTTGGAGAGTAGACGAAGAGAGAAGGAGACGAAGAACTGTCACAGGTCACGGGACTTTGAGAGTCTCCGGGCCGGGTGAACCACATCGGAATATTGCCAAGTTCAACTTAACGGCACTTGCATGATAAAAAAATACAAGTCATATTTGTTCTAAGATAATGAAATGTGCTACTGGTGAGGATATCCATCTCTTTCGCGAGTTGTATTCTTCATCTGAATACTCTTCGTCGTCACCGTTTCACCTTCATCCACTTCATTATCGGTGTCCCCCCCATCCTGTTCGAAGGCTGAAATACCACAGGTCCTGAGGATATTGCTGCCCAGCCAACGAGCACAGTTTTCGGTACCCTCCCATCTCGAATCCGCGACTTGGATTTACTCATCTTCTTCTCCATTCTGTTCTGCAACGTCAAGCACGAAACAAAGAGACCCCAGTAGGAGCCGCACGAGAGTAACGCATGAAATCTTCTCAGCGATGCTGTTGGATCCCATTCCATACAACAACGCATGGCAGACCGTAGAGTTGATCGGTCGACAAATTCCGTTCCCTTTCGTCAATTGCACGCCATCTTCTGCCAGGTAGAACGTCCGCAAGGCCTAGAGACATTAAGGACTTGAATCCGTTCATCGCACGCGGGCCACGGGGGATATTGATTTTTAGGTCGGGAGTTATCTTGATGTTAACGTGATACTAAACATAACAAAAAAAAAACTCAACAAAACTGTACCGAGTGCAGCAGTGATACTCCAAATAGACGTCCACGGATTGGGCGTGTGGGGGAGTAGATTCGGGAGAGAACTTTACACTGAGAGACCGGTGATATTGAGCACTGTCAGCACTGACTTGGAAGGGTCGTGTCCATAAAGACGCATATTGCCCCATCCATCATCGGAACCATCGACAGTCAAAGGAACTACCGAATCGTGAATTACACCCTGTTGATCATCTTCAAGACTTGTGGTACCCAGCCCAGTGCAGATACCCTTATCAGTATGCTCGTGAAAAGTTGAAAGGTCTTCTCCTGCGAACTGGTTCAACTCTGGTTCAAAGCTCTCGACAGCCGTCTTTCTCTGTTCGAGATATGCCGACTAGTCCTTGGATTTTTCTGGGCGGATCAAGTGAAATTCTGCATGAAACACATGTCACTGTCCATTGACGACCATGGCACCTCGACATAATCATTTCCTTGAGGATTGGACAACTTCAGAACGTTCTTAGTGTCTTCATTGAAGCCAACGACCCTGAGTTTGCGAGACTGTTGGCCAATAAGGCTTCTGTGCAAGCTCGCAGGCAGAGCATCCTTGCGAAACTGAGAAAACTCTGTATCATTGAGAAGAAACTCGGAAAGACGACGAGCGTCAAGGATACCTGGGGCTGCAGGGGGACTACGACAAAATGGACACATGGTGATAACGGAAAAAGGGCGTCGTTCAGCACAGTTCTTGCTGTAACTTGCATTACAAAATTTACTTTATTCCTTTCTTCCTGTCTTTAAGTTTCGCGCTGCATTAATGTCGCTATTTCTGTAGGAACCGCCGGCCGTTTCTCCCATCCTGCAAGCCATCCGATCCTTGCGCCTTCATCATCCCCAGCACTTGGAAGAGCAAATACACCGGTGACTAACCAAATATTCTTCGCACTGCCCAAGTGATTCTGCCGCAGCGTTGGCAAAACAGCCCTCGGTACCATCAGATTCGAGTTCGCGTCTGTTCTCAGCACCTGTCCTACTCTCCCGGATTGTCCCAGATCAACAATGCCAGAAACACCAGCACGAGACGCCGCGCGACCTTCGCCACCCTTTTCAAATGTTCCAAAAGCCTCTCCATCTATCGTGATGCCCAGAGCTCTCCCGTCCTTTCCCTGTCCGTATATCGCAAAACCGCCTTCAGCAGATAATAAGTTTCTCCCCGTCCGTAACCTGTGCACACGGAGATGCCACACTGGCGAGTTCTGCTGTGGTGGCACCAGCCATGTCTCTACCTGGACATCCTTCCAGGGATACCACATCGACCTTAGCCATTTACCACTCTCAATCCTAGCCTCCCTTGTGTCTCTTCTACACTTCCACGTCTCTCCGTTGTCATCACTTAGAGCCAACGTATTGTCGCCCCCCAATTCTTCCAGGGTTCCATTCCCGACAGGGACACTGTATCCAAAGGCGGAGGAATAAGCAAGTTTCCCATACTTGGCCGGTCCTTGTTTGATGGGATATGAGCACTGTTGGCCAGATGATAGAATATAGGTGTGCCCTCCAACGGTGGTGGCAATATGCAGTGGATGATACAGAATTTTGGTCGTCTCAAGCAATATCTGGGGGTAAGGCTCTTCCTTTGTTGCCCAGAACGGATGGTTGTTGGGTAAAGACAGTATTACAAAGGACTTGCAACACCAGTACGGAGACCCGGGAGAGTTGTAGTTCTCCGTCATGTTGTGGTTGGGATAACAGAAACCGATGGTAAGGGTACCGTCGGCATTGAACGCCCCCGCCTGTTTTGCCCACCACCTGATGTTCCTTAATTGCAAACCCTTGACGACTCCCCAAGTCAATGGAGCTGGGAGTTCAACGTCGGCGAAAGCGAGGGCCCCCCAAAAGGACGACATTGCAAAGCGATAGGTCATACTCCTGCCGAAGGGGATCGCACGACCTGCCTCCCCGTGAGTACACTAAGGCATTAGCAATAATAATTCATCCTACCTTCTCCGTCAAAGTAGCACACAAAGTCCAAAGCAAATTGCCTCGCTCTGTTCCTGTATTCTTCACATCGAATGGGATCTTCGTCTTGCTGCAGCTTCGAGTAGACGAGCTGCGCAAATTGAATCGCAAAGGAAGACGAATAATAATCGAGTTGGACAACACCCTCTGGGCCATCGCGAGACCATCCATCGCCGATATAGAATGTGTCGAGATGATCCATGTCAGCTTTCATTCGTTCCGCGTTGAAACGAGTCGAGCCAGCTTTTGATAAACCCAGGTTGGCAAAGACCTGGGAGAGTAAGGATAAATATGGGTTAGGGAAACATATTACTCACGCGGAACCAAAGCCAGTTTGTATTGGGCATCTCCTTGTCATTCATACCACCTAACCATTTTTCGACTTTGACCTTGGATTCTGGAGGGAGGGGATCCCACAATTGCTCTTTAGCAACAGCAATAGCGAAGCCTAGGGCGGAGCACTCGACCATCCTTTGGTCTTTGTCTCGCATGTCTCCCCAGAACTCTTCGTTATCAGGATCGGTCCCATTCTTCAAGCCGTCAACCCATCGCATGGTACCAGAGTATTCATATCCACCCGATAGTAATGATGCGAGGCCCCAGATGGGACGAGAGAAACCTTCCAACTGAGCAGCAGCCTCGTCGTAGTGCGTTCCAGTATGGCCAATGTGAACTCTGGCACCACCAGGTGAAGTGTGCTTCTCAAGGGCGTCGAGGATATCCACAAGGAATTTCTTCAAGTCATTCCTGGTCTGTATGGGATTGGGCGCGAAGGGGGTAACGTTTCCAAACGTCTCCATGGCTGGTGCACGTGGGAACGCGATGAACCTCACTTATGTAGGGATATCAGTTTGAAATCGGGCCGGACAGAACTGTCCGCTGATCTGTTCGTGATCTTGTTCTATTCTTAAGAGAGAAAAATCATCTGAAATGTACTGCATTGAAACGAGTCGAGGTCACAGCAGCCTATTCACAGTACAAACGGTACTCAGCTACTTATCTCCGTTGTATTCTTCCGATGTCTCCGCTTTTTCTTCTTCTGCTCTGGACCTGTGTTTTCTTCCGGCAGCTTGCGCTTGTCGCCAGCATCAGGAGCATCTGCACTGTCAGCACCGTCCTTTGCTTCCTCACCTAGCTCCTGATCTGTAGCTGCTCCCGTTTTCGAACGCATGCGTTCCTTTTTCCCCTTCCGTTTCTTTACCGGTTTCTCTGCGTCAAGCGTAACGGCGTCACCACCTGACCTTGCCGCGATTTTGTTCTTCAGTTCCTTCAGCTTCTCGGCCCGCTTCGAGTCCCATACGCTGTCTTTTCGGTAAGGAGCATATTTCTTGACTCCCATGTATTCATTGAGTTCAGCATCTGTAGCCATCAAAATCTCGGCCGGGGTCAAGGCAAAGTTTTGAGCTTGCACGGGAGTGTATTTAAAGCGTGTGGTAAAGCCGCCGACCTAGGTCCAGGAAGTTATTTGTGAGCACCATAAAGACAAACAGGACATACCACATCGTTGAAGTCTAGCTGGTAGAGTTCATTCATGTATTCATCCAATTTCTTCTTCCGCATTTCTTCTGTGCCATCCCACTCTTCGTTCCCATGCTCGACGTCGGCGTCCATAGCGTTGATATCTACACCGCCAGCATCCTCCTCAATGGTCTTCTTTTTCTTTTTCTTCTTTTTCTTCTTTTTCTCTGACTTATGCTCATCATCGGAAACCAGAATGTCACCAATGTCAATATCGTCGTCCCATACGGGCTTCTCGACGTCCTCCGCTTCTTCCTCTGCGCCATAGAGTTCTTCCATCTGCGCATCATGAACCTCGGGATCCCAGTCTGCATCCAAATCCAGTGCTTCGAGTGCTATAAAATCAGGCGATATCAGCCTCTCGTTAGGCTCTTTCAAAGGGAAACATGCCTGGATCGGCCTCAAAGCTCTTTCCGCCTTCACGCCCGATCTTATCCAACTTGGCTCGTATCTCCTTCATCTTTAGGGACTTGAGCCTTCTAACTTCGTCTTTCTTCTTCTGCAGTTCCTCCTCCTTCCTCGCCCTTCTGCGTTCGCGCGCGTCCTTTCTCGTAGTGTTTTCTCGTCGTACAAGAGATGAGATGTTACGAGGGTAACTCTTGATCTCTGCTGCATCACTATAAAGACAGTTTGATTCAGATAGGTGTAGACAGCGAGACCAGGAAGAACGAACGGCTCCTCGAATCGGAAGTTGTACGAGCTTTCGAATCGGTCCACAATCTCTTCAAAATCATCTTCGTCAATGTCGGGGTCAGCCGTCGGTAGGGGGGGATCCTCAGAAGCGGAACCGCCCTCGTCCTCGTCATTCTCTTTCTTTGCCTTATCTTTTCCTTTCGTTCGACCGGATGTTGCTTCCCGATAAGTTGGGACATGCATTGAAGATCGATCAATCCAACCTCGGTTGAGAATATAGCTGAAGAATCAACGGTCAACAGACTGTCGTACAGACGAAGGCAAAACAGCTGCACTTGATAAGGAACTCGTGGTTTTCTTCGTCTTTGGACTCATTGCTTGCAGCCTCCTTGCTCTTCGTTTTCGATTTCTTCGGTGCATCATCCCACTCAGACTCCTGCTTGATTGTATCTTGGCTATCCCGGAAAGTGACCAACTCTTTAAGGTCGACGCCAACTTGCTGCTGCAGAAAATTGCGATATTCTTCCTCCTCTTGCTCGCGTTCATCTTTGGTCTTCTCCCGCGGAACAAGTAGATCATCGTCATCGCGTTCAGAGTCGCTTTGGTGAAAAGCAGCTATTGTTTCCTTCCGAAGTTCGTGTTGAGCTTCGACGTGTGTCGGCTCTGGAGATGGAGAGTGAGAAGTCGGATTGAGCGTGGATTCAAGCATAACTTGGCGAAGAGTGACAGGGTTTGATTGCTGTATAAAAATTTTGTTAAAATTGATCTGTCTAAAGCCAAAGGAATTACCTTGATTTTTGTTCGTGACACTGGCTGTAAGGGGAGTGAGCGCGTCTGCTCCTCTAAATGAAACCATTATCAAACATGATTTCTTTTCTTGAAGCGACAGAACGGACCTCCGAAAATACTTTTCTCAGAATTGTAAATGTCTGGATCCTTCCTCTTGATTCGGGCCAGCGTCCTGAGAATTGCGGCATCCACAGCGGGCGTTAGCTCCTCTCCATCTTCATCTTCAGACTCTGCTGACTCTGAGTCTGTCTCTTCGTTATCGTCGTCGTCTTCTTCGGCGTCGGAACCATACTTTGCTTTCACTATAGGCTGTCAGATTTTGGACAAGTGAATAAGCTGGTGAGCCAACGCTTTTCGAGTTCTTCTCTTTCCTTTCTATATTGGAATGCCTTTGCATAATGTTCGTTGATGGTAAACTGGTGAGTAGAGTCGCTGTCTGATTCCGAGTCTGACAACATCGCAGTGAAGAAGAAAGAAAAGGATATCCGGACCGGGTCGCCATCAGCTGAGGGTTTCATCGCTACGACCATGCTACACGTACAGGCGCTGATTCCAGTTGCTCTATCGACTCTATTTCGCATCTCTGCCTACCTTTTTTTGCAGGTGGTCAGTACTGTTCCTCCTTGGATGGGATACCCAGCTCACAACAATTAGATTCCGTCGCCAATACTTGCAATTGTCCTGCCAATTGCCTTTTCAGCATGGATCATTGCCCTATGGATGCTGCCATCTCCTTCAGAGCGCAAGGAAGAAAGCGACGGCAAGGCTCATCCAACTCGTACAGCAACAGTAGCTCCTTTCCATTATCACTCATTTGGAAGGCTTATCGAGGCGCAGGTATACGTTGAGAGCGAAGACATTGTGCTAAACATCCTTTTGTCGCTTCCATCGTCATCCCGTCGAGTTCGTTGGGTCACCAACGCAATCAACATCGCCCTTTTTCTTGCCGCTGCAGAATTCCTTTGCACCCCATTTTTAGATTCCGCCTCAGACATCATCTTCACTCGTGTCGGTGCTGTTTATCCAGACAATGTCAAAATTGTTGCTCGTTACCCGCCTATAGACGATATAACACAATCCATACGCATCATATGGAGAGAGGCACCAAAGTCCGGGGCTCAAGAAATATCTTGGCATGACGGACCCTTATTTAATTTTGATGAAAATCGTGACTGGGTAGATGTCGTCAGGATTAAAGGACTCTGGCCTAATAGCCATTATGAATGTGCACCACTCTGTTCCATTCAGCGCAGTGATGAATCTAACTTGTTTCATTTTTCAGACTCGCTTGCAACAACTAATGGAACGCTGCTGCCCTACCCCTCTACACCTATCAAATTTCATACTTTCCCCGACCCTCGCCTCCCCAGCGGAAACAAATTCAGTTTCTTGGTGTCGTCATGTATGACCACGAATTTTCCTTATCTCCCGTTTCAAGGACGACGAATCAAAGGTTATGACTTACTCAGCAACCTTCTGTATCCGAAGGATTCTGCCTATAATTCTACCACTGACACAGATGTCGCTGCAAGTAAGACCCTAACTAAAGAGAGATCTATGCTGCCAGAGTTCCTGCTTTTCCTTGGCGATTTTATCTATGCCGACGTTCCGATCTACACTGGAAGCACCCTGGAGGACTACCGCAGACTATATCGCAGAAATTATCAGAGCAGCAGTTTTAGAAAAATTTATGAGCGTTTGCGTGAGTTTTAAAGTTGTTCATAATAGGAAAAGGCTCGTTAACAATTGCTCAGCAATTTTTCATGCATACGATGATCATGAGGTATGTACATGCACATCAACTTGAACGTCCTTTGACGGTGCCATGAAGATTATTAATAACTACGCCGGCGACGGGGACGACCTCAAGCCACCTTTTCCCAATGCCTCAGACGCCTTTGAAATCTACAACGCAAACCCAAATTATGATTCGATCCATGAAAGTCACTATTACTACGATTTTCGCTATGGTGATTCTGCTTTCTTCGTCATGGACACACGCCGCTATCGATCTTCTGCAACCGATGATTTAAGTGCGCGCGTGATGCTCGGTGATGCTCAACTAGCTGCCTTCTATAACTGGCTTTCGAGGGTATGACATATATGTATCTCATCTCATTTCTAGCTACTAAAACAACTATGTTTAGGCCAATGATACGGCCGTCTTTAAGTTTGTAGTGACGTCGGTCCCATTTACCACGCTTTGGGGTCACGACGCGGCTACGGACTCTTGGGCTGGTTTCCCTGCTGAAAGGACCTCTTTATTGCAAGCGATGCACTCCGTGCCGAATGTGATAATCCTGTCTGGGGATCGTCACGAGTTTGCTGCCATCGAATACAATCACGACAGTCTTCATACCGTGCGAGAATTCTCTACAAGGTAGCTACTTTGCTGTGCGATGTCTTCTGTTCGATATCTGACGTCTTCTCTCATAGTCCTCTCAGCATGTTCTACATTCCTCTTTATAGAACACTGAAAATGCAAGGGGCAGAAGTTGTGACTAGGATTAAACACAGACTGAATATGACCAACGAGGGACCGGAATATATCACAGTGGAAGAACAGATTCCTGCGGAGAATGTATTCAAATACATTCCCTCCGGCAACTATAAATGGTTCGTTCATATTCTACAAAAACTACCATAACTGCCCAGCGAATATCTCTCATTCTCTTTCGGTATCCAGGTCCACCATTGATGTTGACACTACGGACTTGGAAATGCCGGTTTTACGCCTTAAACTTACTGTCGATGGCAAAACTGCGTATAGGTGAGCGAGCTCCACCACCTCATCAACTAGGAAGGGGCTTACGTCTCGGCATAGTTACACTTTAAACGGAACGCCGATAAAATTACACACATCCACGGCTCTGGGCGTATTTGTCTCAACAGGTATCAAGGACATGTTCAATAAAATCGGTATACATCCAAGCAAATGGTTCTAATAAAATACACTATCCACTTTGCTTCCACTCCGGGTCCGTTGATCGTCGCGCCGATCGGTTAAGCGAAAACTGTTGCTGGATAATAGCATAATGCCTCATTTCGGCTTCACTAACGCTGGGAACCAGATGATTGAGAGCAAGCGTAAAATCATCTTCTGTTACAATAACGTTGACCTCCTCTTGGGACGCAACTTCTGCCAAATAATATTGGGGCGTCAAAGGGTATGGATACTGATCGCCACCGGGTTGACTGTTGAGCCGAGCTGAAGACAGCGTATCATTAGCATGTGCAAAGTTGGCCGACACAAGAAACAAACCGATTGTTTCTTCCAATTCTTCGGCCTTACGTGTCATGGCATTCAAAAGAGCGTCGGAGCATACAGCATAAAAGTCGGCACCAGTGAGATTGAAGGGACATCGCTCGGCAAGGGCGCTCAAATCGAAATCGGGATGAAGGCGAAATTTTCTCGTCAATGCTTCGAGAATGTGCAACTGTTCTTCGTGAGTTTTGCTAACGCCTAGATACAGCATACGATCGAATCTGCAAGGGATTAAGACTAGATCCACAGAATGCATAAACTTGTGAGTTAACCTTCCAGGGCGCAGTAGCGCAGCATCTAATAGATCAGGTCGATTGGTGGCACCGATGACGAAGACATCCGTGCCTCCGCTTCCCGACATGCCATCCAGTTCAGACAGAAGTTGACTAACGATACGATCCATGACACCTCCCGAATCGCCGTGATTGCCTCTCTTTGGGGCTATCGAATCGAGCTCGTCGAAGAATATAACGCATGGTTTTGCATCTCTTGCACGCTGGAAGATACGCCGTACATTGGCTTCCGATTCTCCAATGTACATATTAAGCAGCTCAGGACCCTTGACGGAGAAGAAGTTGAGCGCAAAGGACGTAGCGACGGCCTTGGCGACTAAGGTTTTTCCCGTTCCGGGAGGTCCATAGAGAAGAATACCTAGACAAGTCAGTTAGGATTATGGCTTCGACAACATCGAGTAGGCCGCTTACCTGATCGTTTTTTTAATCCGTCTGAGAAGAGTTCGGGGTAGTCCAACGGTAATTGTATCGTGTCGAGAATGTCGGATTTGGCGTGAGCCAGACCGCCGACATCATCCCAAGAAACGTTGGGGATCTTCGGTGCGCCAATACCTTCAGAATAGGATGCTCTAGCTTTCCCAAGGGCCCCTTCAAAGTCAGAATTTGACAGCGTGACCCCTGCTTGGATTATATCGGACACATCCTCGTAATCCCTACGAGCACAGACGGATCAGCATGAATACAAGGGTATATTCTCAGAACGTACACAGTTGAACTTGCACGTTCAATCGAAGCTGCCTCTGCACGCACCACCAAATCGACTAAATCGCCCGCCACCAAGGCAGCTGTTTGTGTTGCCAAAGCAGACACAGAGACATCGGGGGCTACTACTTTGCTGGCGAGTTGAGATTGCAGTATATCGTACCGTTCGACTTCATTCGGAGCCTATTCATTTATCATTAAAAATTAAGTTTGTTCATAGTGGGACGATTAACCTCGAAGGTAATTTCATGCTTGAAGAGAGCCACGAATGCTGGTGGTAGCTTGGAAGGTTCATTGGTGATCCCACATATCATAACCGGATAACCCGTAATCTTCCAGCTCTGGTGTACATGATCAAGGCAATCTCGGAGTACGTTAATCATCGGAGATCCTATAAATAATTGTCGGCATATACATAGCCGAGAGAGATAGCAGGCATACCTGTTTTCGAATCGGGGCCTTGAGAATTACTACCCAATCCATCAAGTTGTCGTAGGATGAGAAGGCAAGGAGAGCAGTCCATGGCTTTCTCAAACCGGGCCCGGAGTAAACCCTCGGTCTGCGTATCATTATCACCCACAGCATCGTAACAATTTATCTGTCTTATGTTCGCAAACAATTGAAGGGCAAAACAAAAGCCACTTACTTCAAGGACGTGCATGCCGAGTAGGCGCGCCACACTATGGGCAGAACTATATTTGCCAGTTCCCCGTGCGCCACTGAGCAGAAAAGAGAGGGGTAGATTATAAGAAACACTGTGCTTCCCCAGCACCACCGATGCAACGGAGAATAATTTTTCAAAGGAGGAATTTGGATCAGAGGTAGCAGGGCACGACAAGGCTCTTGGATGAACATCTGTCCTTATGAGAGTATATGAAGATTTGACGGATGCGGGACATACCTAGGCCAAGATATGCAGAAACGTCCGGTACCCGACAGTGCTCCACTCCGGTCTGTACCATGTGAGTCACAGAGGCATCGAACCAGCATCCTAGTTCGCCCAGTGTTGCCCCGATATAAGCGTCCGGCGATAGAGAATCTGCTTCGTTGGATATTACGTCGTGGTCGATGTTGGTTAGCACAAAGAAAACTGCCTCATTTGCGCGGCTTGGCGTAGAATCTCTAGACGATGTGATGAGTGCGGTAACTTAGCATCGAAATGGCTCACGATACTGGGTACCTATCATGTTCCGCATGGCTATGTTGGTCGTCGGTATTCAAGGCAACGGCAATTACATCTCCCGCTTTCACCAAGGTCGGCGCCCCCTCAAAATGACGCTGTAACGCTGTCACAAATAGACTCTGGTATGTGCGATCCACTGATATGGGTGAGGCCACTCGAGCGACAGTTATAGAACGGGCGGTGGGTACTGTGGGTTTACCTGAACCAAAAGGACTAGGGCAAAGCTGGATAGTGGATGATAGTGAAGGACTGGAATCTCCGCAGATGTTATGGAGGAGGACAGAAGAGCCTAGGGCACAACCACTGGATTGAAATAAGTACATGGCCTGGAACAAGAACCTTCTATGCTCTTACGTCGAAGAGATTATACTGTCTTCTGCAACAACCCGGACAAGGCGATATTTTGAAGAGCCTGTCAAATGCACTACGGCCTGTTGGTATTAAGCCAGAGTAGGACAGCAAAACTGGCTGACTTACCCATTCTCCGTTGAGAACACCGACACGACCAAGATCGGACATTCGAAGATATATAGTGTAGTCATCCAAGCTCCCCAGGATCGGATCCAATAATGGTTGAACCTGAAACGTGGATACAGGTGAAGAGTGATGTTGCCCACTACAGTGCATATTGTCGAGGTGGTCTTCAAATTCAAATTCTGTATCGGAAGGGAAATCGAAAGCAGGACCCGCCGAGCTTGCCAGGAAATCTTCCCCGATTTCTATTTTCTCAAACTCTGAGCTTTCTCCGGATTCCGATGAGGCAGAGTCAAGACTCTCATCCGTTGATGGGCATATGACAAAGGTAGTATGTTCCCTGTCCGCGTATCCTTGTAGGACGGGTTCCAACATGTCTAGACGATACTTGAGTGGCTTCGTTTCGTGATTGATGTAACCGTTCACATGTCCTAGGCTATTAGCGCTACAAGTGTACGCTGTGCTTTGTCGCAGGATTCTTTGTCCTTGGGAAAACCAGGCCTCGAGCTGTGTCTGGTGAGCCAGGGCCATGTCATAGGCATCTTGAGATAATGCAGTAACGAAGACTTCCATGAGAGGTATTAGACGAACTGGCGAGACAGAAAGGCAGGGTGGACCGGATGACTTCCTCATAGAGAGATAAAATAGGCGAGGATAGATTTTGATCCACGCTTGGGGAATAGCTATTTGTCCCGCCTGGGTATAAATGGGTAATTTGACTGAATGGTTGTATGGACGACGTACTGCAATGTTGTCGTCGAGAAAGGCCCAGCAAGAGACAGCCGAAAGAGAGTTTTTGGATCCTGAGGTGCGCTTGATGAGACTCGATATCGATATACTTATTCTGTAGGCTGACGACGCGTTCTGACTGGATAATGCATCCCAGAGGTCGCGACCGACAAGAACAGTGTCGTCTGTCTGCTCTGGGTCATTCCTGATGATGAAGGCAGTCTCGACAGAAAAAGGCGAGTCAAAGAAAAGGCTCATGGTGGTAGAGAAGAGAAAAGGATGGCAAGGGTGGCCAGCGCAAGAGCGTTTGGTAGGCCTGCCATACCCGAGGTCTGTATTGTCACATGGCAAAAATCGATCTCAATTTCTTTTTTTCCTTCAACTTCCATGTATCGAGGCAATTCAAGAGGCGGTTTCTCACGAGGCGGTGGTGAGCTCCCCTTCTCTAGGTCTTTATCGTGACCTTATAGTGTAATTTTAGCCCGGGGAGGCGGTCGTGGAGGCGGCAGGGGTGGATTCCAACAGAGGGACATGGGGCCTCCAGATACCGTCCTAGGTGATATTCATTACTTCTGTCTGTATCGTTTTGTTTCTAATCCTTTCAGAAATGGGGACTTTTGTGCATGCCGTTGAAGACGAAATGCTCTGCTCATCTCTTTTGCCCGACAAAGTCCCATATTTCAATGCTCCAATCTACCTGCAAAATAAATCAGTCATCGGAAAAGTTGACGAAATCCTTGGCCCAATAAACGAAGTCTACTTTTCCATCAAAATGGGCGAGGGCATGGTTGCCAACAGTTTTAAAAAGGGAGACAAGGTGTATATCGGCGGCGACAAACTTTTGCCAATAGAGCGCTTTCTGCCTAAACCAAAAGTCGCAGGAGGTGCGCTGTCTTATATTTTCTGTTTCATGCTACTCAGAACGGGATGTTTTAGGTGTTACAAGTAAGCCTATGCTATCTGTAGAACCAATGTCCAGTGGCTAATGTCTCTCTAGAACGCGGTCGCGGTGGCCGGGGTGCAGGCGCCCCTCGAGGACGTGGGGCGGGCGGCGGTCGAGGTGGATTCCAATCGCGTGGAGGTAGCCGTGGTCGGGGCGGCGGTCGAGGTGGTTTTGGGGATCGGGGCGGTCGTGGTGCTTCAAGGGGGGCAAGTCGAGGCAGCGGCTGGGGCGTCCGTGGCAGTGGTGGCGGTGGACGTGGATTCCGTGGATCATAGTGCCCTACTAGCTGTACGGTTGAATATACCACATTGCAGGAATCACGGCTTGAGCGTCTTTATCTCTGCTGACACATGCTCGTATTTCAGCGACCGTTCTGCCTGGCTGGGGATAGCCTACACAGCGCAATTAGACAAAAAGGAGGGGACCAAGAGATAACATGCCTGTTCGAGGGCATTGGTTGCAGCTATCGCTTTCTGAAGCTCGTCTTGAATGTTCGGGTAGCGCCTGGCGAGAACTGGGCGACGTTGGACGGGATACACAAGAGAAGACACGCAGCTACTCACATTCATCGCCAGGCAAGGACTCGGTATCCTCCTCTATCGAAATGTCCAAATCTTCGTCTGCAGCGTCTGCGTCGCGCTCGCCGCTGATTAACTTCTCAAGCGTCGCTTCGATCTCCTTGGGCACCGTACGGCGCGTCTCTGCAACGATCTTATGCCAGCCAAGGCGAGTATCAGCGAGGGCCCATATGCGTCTGTCCAGGGCCTCATCAAAGGGCTCCATGTCTAGATTCTGATTTAAAAGCTTGACGACGAAGGACAGTGAGCTCAAGTACCGGGGTCATTCTCATCGAGGGGCCGATTGCACCCATTAATGCGAAGGTTTGACTGCGCCATTGAGAAAGTTCTGTCCAAGTACTGGCGGATACTGAACATGCAAACGACGAGCAAAGAGGAGGAGACCAACCTGCTGGGCGTGGGCCACCATGGCTTCCCTTTGACTCTCTAAGCCCTGGATACGTATCTTCTCCTCGACGAAGGATAGAAACAACCTCGAGTAATCGACCTTGATGCGCTGGAGGTCGCCCTGGGTATCGACGTTGACACGAAGCACGTCGTCTCGTGAAGATTCCATAGTGGTAAGAAATCAAGTGTTGTACAACCCTAACCCTAATATACGGTATTTACGTCTTCACCTTCTTTACCATCTTTATTCCTAGAGCGTTCTTGCCCGCCGTTTTAGCCTTCTTCACTGACGACACCTTGGTAGATATCAGCGCTCGTGTAGAGCCTGACAACAGGCTGTGTACGTTTGGCTCAATATCGTCCGCCTTCCGTTTCACGGTTATCACGTTGTCCACGGTTGAGTCCGTCGAAGAGCCCGGCATCGAAACCTTGGAGAAGACAGCTCTCACCAATTTCTCATCTTCCTCCTCCAGTTTCTTGCACTCTAGGTCCTCTGCCGACTCTATTTCCTCCAGTCCTATCCGGTCCAGCAAATCGACAGTGTTTCCCACTCGTTCGTTTCTCGCATTCCGGGCACGGATGTCTTGTAGGGCGTCCAAAATGTCCATTTCGCGTTTGGAATCCGTCGTCCGGTTTTCGAGCGCCTTCATAGGATTGTTCTCTTCTTCTTCAAGCTTCGCCAGCCGGTCCTCCTCCTGAACCGCTTGTTCGTCTCTCCATGGCTCGAAATTCCGAGAAGCACCGTGTTCTGCAGAATAGTCCGTGTTTTTGGGGTCTGTCTTGAACGTGATCTCGGCTGAACAGAGTGTGCTGAGCAAATGGTAAGATTGAATATCTCAAGAGTATCAGGACGAGACACAAACCATTTGATGTAAAATCGAAATATCTTGATGCCATAGTAGTCCTCGCCGTCCACTGTTTCTTTGCGGGCGTTGAATTTTTTGCCCTTGTAGATATATTCTCCGCAAGTATTACAGCGCCTGTAGAGGGATATCAGATACGTCAGCATAATACTGCAAGAGCACACACATAGAAAAGGGAGCCATTAATCGAACTACCTGCTGTGAATTCTTGGATCCTTTTCGACGCGGAATGAGATCCGGGTCAAAGTCCGGGGGGAAATACTTGTTAAGTACTAGAAGAACATAAGAATATAGCTGCATAGTGGTGGCAAAAAAATACCTTTGCGTTCAGACATTGCCTAAGAGTGTTAGTGGTGGTGATGGTGGTGGTTGGAGTCAAGGAGCTTATTGTTGTGTTGATCGTCGACGTTCCGGCCAAACAACGCCTCGAATTTCCAATTTCTTCTCCTCCTCTCCCGCTATGCCATTGAAATTTTGGAAGCCCGGTACTGCTGAGCCGGGGAGTGCCCTCGACAGAGCAACAGAGGCAGAGGGAAATGTCGTCGGGTCGTCGTCGCAGCATTCTTCTCTCTCGGTCCAGAGCCAGCGGGAACGTCTGCCCATCTTCAAGCATCGTCTGTTCACTTCATCTTCCCTTCCCCGTGTTCTTATGTATTTTTTTTTAAGGTGAAAAGCTGCTATACTGCATAGAAAAGTACGGAGTGACCATTGTAGTCGGCCAAACGGGATGCGGCAAAACCACTCGTTGGTGATTGTTCTCTATTTCCCCGGATCTTATTCTGACGCGTCTCAGAGCTACCGCAGTATCTCTTAGAAGCCGGATGGGCTGCTCAACGAAATGTAATTGCCTGTACTCAGCCACGTCGTGTTGCCGCTACTTCGGTCGCTGGCCGTGTCTCAACTGAAGTCGGATCAGTTCTCGGAGGCGAGGTGAGTCTCGTGTTTGAGCTTTCCATGCAGAAGCCCAAGTGCATCCAGGTCGGATATACAATTCGGTTCGAGGACGTTAGCGACAAGGAGAGAACTCGAATTTTGTACATGACCGATGGAATGTTGTTTCGCGAGACTCTAGTCGACCCCCTGCTCACTCGGTACAGTGTCATTATGGTACGATATTTCATTTTCCACGCTCCAAATCCGCTCACGCCATGTACCCAGATTGACGAGGCTCATGAGCGCAGCACGTATACCGACCTTTTGCTTGGTATTCTCAAAAAGTATGCAATAGTCTCAACGAATCTTGCCCGTCACTTACGAGATCTTAGAATACGTCGCAAGCGTCCCAGTCTTCGGATAATCGTGTCCTCTGCTACGCTAGATGCATCATACTTCCTAGACTACTTCACCGCCGCTACTTCTCCCGGCGAAGCTACTATCGTTAGTCTAGAGGGACGCATGTTTCCTGTCGATGTCGCATACTCTGAACAACCCGTCCCCGATTATGTGCGTTTTGCTGCAGAAACGGCCTTCAATATCAATTTGCAAGTAGGTGCTTCCTCATCAAGACGTGCGGTTACAAATATCTGTTCCATAGTCACAACTGGGAGATATTCTGATCTTTCTTACTGGCCGCGAAGAAATAGACACTTGCTTGGATTTTCTCTCGGAACTCCTCATGACGTTTGTATAGCACTCCTGGAGCTGCCATTCCAGCTCATAAACCATTCCAGCCTCCCACGAAGCGCTTTGCGGATTGTTCCTCTTCCGTTGCATGCTGGCCTGACGACTGTCGAGCAACTACGCGTGTTTGAACCTGCTGTTCGAGGTACTAGGAAGATCATCGTCTCTACCAATATAGCCGAAGTAAGCAATCACCGTTTTTCTCATGTTCGGGAGGAATGCTAGCTCATGTGTAGGCCAGTGTCACTATCGAAGGCATCAAGTTCGTGATAGACTGTGGTTACGTCAAAGTATTCAACTTTCTTCCTGTTCTGTGAGATAACTGTTCACCGATTGGGGATGTATTAGATTCGAACGTACAATCCAACTACAGCGTTGTCCTCGCTAGTAACTGTACCGACTTCAGTCGCTTCAGCGACACAAAGGGCTGGACGAGCTGGGCGTACTTCCTCGGGTATTTGTTACAGGCTATATCCCAAGTCAGCTTACGACTCTCTTCCTCGGTCTATGCCTCCTGAAATCACCCGAACGGACATGACAACGCCGATCTTGCAGCTGAAGTCGTTGGGTGTAGATGATCTAATGAAATTTGAGTGGGTGTCTGCTCCTCCAGCAGAGTCTGTATTGAGGGCACTCGAGGGTCTAGTTGCCGCAGGCATGATAGGCGAGGATGGTCGTTTAACGCTCATGGGAGAGAAAGTGGCGGAATGCCCTGTTGAAGTCGGTATTGCACGCATGGTAATGGATTTTTGTTATTCGTTGTCATGTACTGATGCTGGCGCAGCTTTTCACTTCGAAAGAATATAGTTGTGGGGAAGAGATGCTCACCATTGCCGCGATGACCGCTGTCCAGGTTGGGCTTCTTTTCGTGCATATTGAATAGATATTAATAAATCTCCAGGACGTATTCATCATTCCCGATGGCGCCCCTGGAGCTCTAGCCGAATTGGAACGTCGTAAATTTACTGCAGAAGAAGGGGTACGTTTGTTTTCACTCTGGGCAGCAAAAGATGATTTATAAACTACTTGTTCTAGGACCACCTGACACTGCTGAACGGTGAGCTAGATCCGTTCTCCTTCAACGATGGATGCTTACGTCCTTATTTGCAGCTTACAATGCATTTGTACGTTATGGTAAATCTTCAGGGTGGTGCAAATCGCACGCTTTGTCGTTCAGAGCCATGTCACGAGCTGTTTCCATTCGGGCGCAACTGAAGAAATATATGCAACGTTTCAATCTTCCATTGGATAGTTGTGAGGGTGACGCGAAGCGTTTACGAAGATGTCTTGTCAGCGGATACTGGCGAAATGGCGCCCGATGGATGGCTGACGGCACCTACCGCTCTGTACGGGGGAATGCGATCCTTCACGTTCACCCGACGTCTGTTCTATTTACGAGGAAGCCCCGGACTGGATGGGTGGTCTTCCATGAGATGGAAGAAACCAAGAAAACCCAGTGCGTCTTGCCGTGATCGACACGTTTGCTGGGCTAATCATCAACAGAATTCGGATTATAACCGAGATCGAACCTGACTGGTAATGTTCCGCGCATTTCGATATAATCATTTGTTACTAAAGATGAAATTGCAGGTTGACAGAGCACGGTTTAGAGTATCGGGATAAACGGACGGGATGATACCTCTGTTGAATTTCATGAAAACTATGTGTATCTATAACATTGTTTGAGATTGGTTGCGTGAATGAAAGGAACAAGGAGCACGACGAGGTAAGGTTGTGACAATGTCACGTACGTGACGGTCTGTCCCGTTCACCGTACCGCGATGGGTGCGTCTCAGTCCCGGCCAGACGAAAAGGTCTTTGTGAACGAAACACCGATACAGGTGCGAAAGACCGCCTTTCTCGTTTGCAATATAGCCTGCTTATCCCTCTGCGTGCTAGTTTTCGCAGGATGTCGTCGACCAGCTCTCTGTTGACCTCTCTGCTCGTGACGTTACGCCAGAGCGACAGTCTACACTAGACGCACATATTCGTTCTCGGATACAAAGGGAGATTGAACATCTCCGAAAAGAAGAACAGCAAGTGCGCGAGCGCATCGAGCAGGCCCTAGAGAAGGAAAACTTGGATAGAGAACGAAGTTTAGCTGGCGAGGCGGTGACAGGCGATGAAACTGGCAGTGTCAAGGACAGTGCGTCACTCCTGAACGACCTAGAAGACATTCGCCAGAAGGTAGACCGCTTCCATGGCCGAAAAGACCTTCAGGATGTTCCACAGGTTAAGTCGTACCAGGAAGCCGTATTGGCGTGCTACAGGCTCGTCGTTTCCGCAGCATTTCGTTGAACTTGTGACTAAAACTAGAGCAGGGAGAAGGCCGGGAAGACTCTCGATTGCTGGCGAGAAGTAGGCCTGTTCAAGGAGGCAGTAGAGCAACTAGAACAGGTGCGTTCAATGCCGTTCTCCACCAAGTGACTTTATATTCATTTTGACGTGGAGAAATATGTCAAATCGTTACAGTAATCTGTCCAAATCATGAATACATCGTAAATTGTACCGTTATTTCGGTCCATATCTTCTACAGTGCAACACCAACCACTGTTGATGGATCGTCAGGCTGTGAGTATGCTGAGCCGCTGGTTGCCTGCGACGTCCGCGACGTCCTGCTGGACAGTGCAGTACCTACGATGGTTCGGCCCCGGCTGCTTCTCAAGAAGTGTGTCCATGACAGGCGCTGAGTGTCTCCTTGATTTCTCGTGCCTAAATCCTCAAAGTTGGACGCATAATCTCCCATCTGGCCACCAGGTGACGCGTTTTCATTTGGATCTGTTGAGCTAGTCGCAGATGGTTTGCGATTTAGCTGCAGCAGTGAAGGAAGGTTTGGCAGCGAAGGCTTTTTTGTTCGTAAAGGCGGAGCTCTGGACTTTGGCTGGTCCGCGTCCGGAGAAGACCTGGCAGGTCGAAGAGCCTTTGGAAGAGACGGCTTGGGTTCCGGCAGATCTGCAGGCGTCTTGGCAGGATCTCTTGCTTTGCCGCCTTTGACGTTGTCTGCGAACTGTACCTTGGTGGAATCCGGCACCCAGAAAACGGGTGCGAGATGAGGTATTCGGGGACGGGAGAGTTTAGAAGCATTCATCATCGTGTTCTTGTTCGTTATACGAAGGGTATTCTGGTTTATTTTGTTTGATGTGAGTGAAGATGGCTGGTGGCTGTTGAGTAATTGCCTTACAAGCTCCTTCTGCTGCTTTAATTCATGATGTTTGATCTTTTTGCCCCACATTATCCACACGAACACTAAAAAGACTTTTTGCCGGTATTTAGGCATTGTTGATAACGGGGTAAAACGGGAAACGGGTCAGCTCACACGCCAGGAAAGCACCTCCGGCGGTGCCACCCGCGATTGCACCAACTGGGATTTCGTTAGCGTTGTCGACTGGAGAGACGGACGACGTTGGTCCATCCTCGAATACTGTTGTCGTGACGATGACTTGTGCCAGTGCTGGGGCCATGGTCGATCCAAACAGGTCCCGTTCCCTTTAAATTTTATAAAAACCCCTGGTGTGTCCTCGTGTTTCAAACGCGTGCACTAGGAAGGAGAACCCCGAAGAATAGTAGATAGCATCAGCCTCGTGTAGATTGCCGCCACAAGGGGGAGAGGGGGAAGGGGGGGGGGGGGGGGGGGGGGGGGGGGGGGGGGGGTTGGTGTGGACCTGTATTTCTCATGATACGATTAGCTCTGTCCCAATAGTGTTCCTTGATTGTTCTGAATACTTGGCCGTCTTTTCTCCATCAGCCGGGCTGAACGGAAACCACCGTTTGGCTCCTGTGACCGGCGCAGGGTTCGACATTTGAGCCGAGCTCTTTTAAATTCTCCGGGATTTTGCTCGTTTCAAGTCGCCGGAGGCATTCCCGGCAAATAAGTACATCGAATGCTCATAAATTGAAGGTTGTTCTTTGGCGAGGCAGAGGCCGAAGTAAGAAATGCCTGTCTATCGCCATCTTGCCCTTCTAGCACCAGAGGGCTGGAACTGGCTGAGGGACCCGTCACTTCATGCATTGGAATCGGCTTCCGAGCCAAAGAAACTAATTGGCAACCTGGAAAACAAAGTTCGAGCGGCGGAGATATAGACCGGTTATTTTTTTAAATAGAAATATAAATTATATTATATTGCTGGGGTATCGGGTTAGATTGAATATTAGAAGATATATCCACCGTTTTTCAGAGTTAGCAGGTCGCGGAGACCGCAGTGATGAATGCCGCAAGGAATGGAGCAAGGTCCGGGCAAATAAGAGATAAGCGGCGATTCAAGTTGCCGGCCAGCCAGCTGTTAGCACTTGCTGCTTTTTCTCCCCACCCTTCTCTCTTGCTCTTGACTTCCATCTTCTCTTTGCCCTGCTCATCCCTTTCCTGTCCTGCCCGTCCTTTTCCCTCGTCCTCATCCTCCTTCTCGTCGACTACCGTCGTTTCTTCATTCTTGCCAATCGAAACCCCGGTCTACAATACGGTCTCCAACACGGTGACAAAATGGATCTCCAGCCCGACAACTCGTCCGAATCAAAGACTGGGTATGTCCCTGATTTTACCCTTTTCTCGTCGTCTCGTCTGCAGCTCTTTTCAGCTCTAAGCCTCCTGTTGTGCGTGGTGCTAGGGCCTGTACGACATGTCGTGCCGCAAAGGTGGGCTCTTCTTATTCGGGCTCTTTTTTCTGCTCCCCTCATCCCCCGCCGCCCCAAAGATGAAGTGTGTCGGCGCAGAGGACGGTCAAAAACAGTGCCAGCGCTGCAAGCGTGCCAACGTAGAGTGAGTCCACCCTATTTCTTTCGCTTCTTGTCCTCGTTACCAACGCCATGCCGTTAGATGTATTTTTGAAAAACATAGGCGGGGTCGGAAGCCAGGTTCCAAGTCAGTCCTCTTTCTTTTATGACTCTTTGGTTTTTTAAGTCCTTTTTCCAGGCTTTCAGAGGCCTCGAAAATGCTCCGTCGTCTCGAGAAAGGTCTCATCAACGCGAAGCGAAAGTCGCAGTCCTCAGAGTCCAACATGCTGCCGCCATTCTCCGAAACTGGTCACACCGGTTCTACTGAATCCTCTTTCAATGGCGTCCTTCGTGGAGACCCGTACGCATCTCCTGGCACTCATTTCCCATCCAACGAGCTCCCTCCACTGAATCTCCCACATTACGCAAACGGTCCTGATTATCCCACGTCAAGCAGCAGCACCCGAACCGTGGACATGGACGATGATGATGATGACCCTGATCGCAACAACGAGGCACTCTTTCCAGCCAAGATGATTCGGAAGGAAAACCAAAGGAATTCTTTTTTCCGCACTATTCTCAATCCGGAGGATGAAACCGTCGCGGGCCAAACGCCTACCCGTGGCGCTTCATTCAGTCCACCTCACTCGCGCATGACTCCCGTTTCCCCAGGACTCAATGATCCAATCTCGGCTGGCATCATTGATGAGGAGGAAGCCAAAGTTCTCTTTGATGCTCTCTTCATCAGGCTCAATCCCTTTATCAATCTCTTTGACCCTGCCCTGCACTCGGTGTCCTATGTTCGGTCGAGATGCCCATTCCTATTCAGCACCTTAATCATGGCCGCGTGCCGGTTCTTCAGACCCGAACAATTCAAACAATGTCAAAAGATCGCAAACGATTATGCCGTTCAGGCATTTGCACAGGCTTGGAAGAGCGTGGAGGTCGTGCAGGCTTTCTGTTGCCTCACCTATTGGCGAGATCCAGATGATAATGTGCATTTCATTTTTTTTTCTCTTTTTACACCCGTCCTGATTCTGATTTATGTGTTCAATCAGCGCACTTGGACTTATATCGGATATGTTTGTGATTGACCTGTCTCGTCTGTACCCGTCACTGATTATTACTCTGTTGGCAGGCTTGCCGGATGGCCATTGAACTGAGGCTCAATCGCTACGTTCCGGTTTCACCACCCCACGAAACGGAGTTCCAGATGCGTGAACGTAGAAACCGAGAGCGTACATATCTTGTGTTGTTTGTGCACGATCGGAGCCTTAGTACTCAGACGGGAAGGAGCTGGATGCTTCCGGAGGATGCGTTGGTCCGTCACTCTTCAACATGGCATGAACAAGGCGGCAGCACCATACGGCCCGAAGACGTGATTGTCTCTGCTTTTGTTCAACTGCGTCATATTGCTGTAAGAGTAACCTACTGTTCCTCCGAGAGATCTGCTGATTATTTTACGCAAGGCTGAGACAACCGATATCTTTCATACTTCTAAGGCAGACAATCCTCATGGCATCCAAAATGATATCAAGTATGAGGTCGTCCTCCGTAACTGTAACAACAAACTCTCGCAATGGATGGACACATGGCAACGTGAAATGCACCGAGGTACTGTTCATGTGCCTCAAATCTCTCTCTCTCTCTTGTACTAACTGGATATTTAGCTGGCGGTGAATCGTTCCATTTCTCGTTCTTGAGCCTGTTCAGGTTGTATATTAGGCTTTTCTTGAACAGCTTTGGAATTCAGGATTCCATTGCTTCCGTAAGAGTCGACCACTAATGACCGAGTTTCCAAAGCTGATGCGGGTTGCTTATCAGGGTGGTCGCTCTTGTCCGAGCGTGCAAGCACTATCGACATGTTATTCCAGTGCCATGGACGCATTACGGATCCTTTCCCAAGACTTTGCTGACATGAGCATGCTTGTACGTTCAATGTAGTTCGCCGTTTGATGCGGTGAAAAGCTAAGCATTTTCTTTAGCGCTATGGTCAGGACACAATCACGATCATGTCTGCGTATGCTGCGGTCTTTCTGCTCAAGGTAGATCAATTCTCTGTTCAGTGTTGTCCATGGTGTTCACGAACTTGTATAGCTTTTACGAAGCTCCAGCACCTATCCACAATTGCACGAAGGTGCTGCTTCGGAGATCCATGCCATTATATCAAAAACAGCCGATTCGTATCACGAGGCATCTACTCTTTCTCCCGCGTCAACGTTGGCAGCCTACCATGCCCGGTTCCTGCGAAGCCTCTTGACAAATGATCTATTTAATGCACGGAGGGCCGAGAAGGGAAGGTACGAGACGCCGATTGATCCTCGGCTTCAAGGTACTGTTCTGCATCTTACTGGGGTTCGACATATGTATATTTAAAACTCTAATAGACTCGCCAACTACCATTCAGTCGCCCCCTCAGGGATATCCCCCTAGTTCATCACATGAACAAAGCTTCCACTTTCCCGCATCTCCGCATCTTCCGGCACATCCAGTGACGCAAGATTCTCATTATGCCTCTTCCGAGGTTATGCGACCTGGTAGCAATGCTAGTGCCTCCTCCAATGGGAGCTATCACCCATCCTACATTGGAGCGCAGCACACTTCGGAGCTGGACGCCCAGTACTGGAAGAATATGTTTCTCGATTTGGGATTCGGCGGAAATGTCGAACAAGCCGGTCCACCTCTTCAAGCTCAAGCAACAGGGCATGGCAATGGCGACTTACGTTCCTCATACGACGTTCGTCACCAAGTGTACCATATTGCCCAATCTTCTCACCCAAACTACTGAAATGATTTGATGCTGTGCCGCTTCGTTGTAGCGCTTTGTTTCCATCTTGATCTTGTTATATTAACTGTTGTATCGTACTTTTGCCGTACCACCTCTCTAACCATCATTGAATTGCATATATATGACATTGTTTTTGTTATTTTTTTTTTTGGCAACTCGGTCTCTTGTTCGGCACTACATAACGATTAGATCCCGTATTTGCCGGAGGACGAAATTAAATAAAACGGCAGTTGTTGATCAGGGCTCGACACCGATTGGGAAAATCACCACTGTTCGGGCAACAGCCACTGCCAACCGTGGGATACCACGAAGACCAAGAAAATCAAAGTCGCGAACGAGATGGGGCCGAGATGCTACAGTGAAAATCTCAGGCTGCGTATGCACGTAATTCATGTTGTGTACATGAACAAGGGCACCTTTTGCGGGAGACTGCGTTGAGATAGCAAAATAGTCGGGATAGGAATGGCACCATCTGAGCATTATGAAATCAGGGGAACAGTCTTGAGAGATCAAAGAGATATAGAAAGTACCGGAACTTATCCCCGCCTTCCGGGAAGCTGTTTCCAGCGGCAAGGGGTTTGCCACCCTGAAGCTTGGAGAGATCCCATATGGAAAACCTGGACCCGTAGACGGCTCCCAGACTAAAAATGAGATTAGAACAGCACATAAAAGGCGAGGGAAGATCTGGTACATATTTGCTGAATCTCTTTGCCAGGCTACTGAGCCCGACCATTGCAGGGACCGTCCTAAAGATGCCTCCGACAGAGCGTGCGGCTCTACAAGCTCAACTAGGCTCGAATTGTGCCACGAATCTGGATCTGGGTCGTCTGGATCTGAACGCCAATCCGTAAGGAATATAGATCCCCTGCAATCTGAAACGAGAAACTCTTTGCTCGTAGACGGATGGGAATTGATGGACGTCAGTGGGTGGGGAAATGCGATAACATATGCCGTCGGCTGTGTCCTTGGCGGAGGGGATGCCGTGCCGCTCTGTCCCATTGGCGATGCCAGCATTGACGCCGTGTCCACGGAAGGGAGGAGGTCCCACACCATGAGCATTTTGTCATCTGGGTAGTATGTATGGGCTTTTTTTTTAAAAAAAAAACAAGCCAGTCGAAGGGCCTACCTGAGACGGTGGCAATGTAGCGAGAGGCATCGCTTCCTCTACCGCCGCCAAAACACATGTCGTTCACTTTGCCGTGGTGGCCACTTAGACCCCCGCCAAAGTGGAATACGGTTTCTTCGTTCTTGGGCAGCTTTGTGAGCAGATGTAGACCATAGTCGACTCCAGCAGCGGCGAGCCTAGATGGACGTATGGTGAGCGAATATCATCGTCGAGAGCATGTCGAGTTACTCAATGATCCAGCCGTCGCTGGACGACGGAGAGACGGTCTTGGGCGACCAGGCAATGGCAGTAATCCGAGAGCCAATGTGAAAAGTAGCCAGTGACTCGCAGCCAGTTTCCTTCTAGAACGGTTGAGCACAATGCCTGATGTCGGAATAGGATGTACAGACCACGAGGAGGACCTGGACAGAATGCTCGCCTCCAATAGCGACAAGGTCCCCGGCGTCATCATTCTTGCAGGAAGAGAGGACATAAATCACAGTTTGATGACTGTAGTCCATCGTCGTCGTCATCGTCGTCGTCGTCGTCGAGCGCGACGCGTTGTATGTGCATGTTGCGGCCAAGAGTGTTGGGCAACAGTGGCCAACACGGGTTTGATGCCTTCCACCAAGCCTCCTAATCCCTGGTTGTTTGCTGCCGTCTCTGTCTCGTCGTTGCTCACGTTCTATCTTATTCTCAAGCATAGAGAAAAGTCGTATCCTCTCTCTCAGCAGCCACGACAAGCAGATCATCCTCTTGTACCCCCCTTCAACAGAAAGGATAGTGACAGCTGAACAATGTCTGCTACCATCGATAAGTTTGCCGATGCGCTGCCGCTCCACAAGGTGCACAGGGAGACTGTTGCTACATCGCCTACTTTCGATTCGAGCAAGGTCATCGTCATTTTTGTTCTTGGTGGTCCCGGTGCAGGCAAGGGTACACAGTGCGCTCGCCTTGTTCAAGACTTTGGATTTTGCCATCTTTCGGGTAATTATTCCCAGATATATACTTTCTCTTCTGACTGTCATTGCAGCCGGTGATCTCCTTCGTGCAGAACAAGTGAGAGAGGGCTCTCAGTATGGGGAGCTCATTCAAACATGCATTCGCGAAGGGACGATAGTGCCAATGGAGGTCACCATCAAGCTGCTTGAAAATGCTATGCTTAAAGCTTTGAAAGGCGGCAAGTCTAGAGACGGCTGGGGTGAGGGCCAAGGTCGTTTTCTTATTGACGGCTTCCCCCGCAAGATGGATCAGGCAGTCAAGTTTGAAGAAGATGTAAAGTCCCCGGAATTATCTTGCATTCGTTTGTTGATTCAAATCCAGGTTTGCGTCGCTTCTTTGGTCCTGTATTTCTCTACTACCGAGGCTGTCATGCTTAAGAGGCTTATCGAACGAGGCAAGACAAGCGGTCGAGAGGACGACAATGAGGAAAGTATCAAGAAACGCTTCCGTACGTCCTTTTAGCCCTTGTCTTTTGTAGATATTGACTACTATATAGGTACATACCATGAAACGACCATGCCAGTTATTGAGCATTACCGAAAGTTCGGCAAGGTTGCAGAAGTAATGCTCTTCTATTCCTTTCGTTTAAGCATTGAACCGAGATCTGGTTAGGTTGACAGCTCAGTTTCTATCGATGAGGTACATAAGAATACGGTGGAGGTTGTTAAGAAGGCTCTGTCAAGAGAACATGTTCCTACAACATCTGCCTAATCGCCCATCATTCTCGTTTCGTTTTCCCAAAGGATCGCCGACGCTAATCAGTCAATACAATTTACAATCATACATACATAATTCAGTTCTATCCCAATCATGAATATACCATGAAACCAACACCTTCGGTTGGCAATGCAGCAGAACATACTGCTCGTCCTCCTTTGGGAATAGTGGATATTTCGCCATCGGAACAGAGCAAATGAGCTCCTTCATCAATATCATCCTGCATTATATTTAAGTAAGCATTGTTCTGGAAGCGAAATGGATACTAACTGGGATCCACTCCCAGCCACCGCATCGTATATATTCTACGACCCAAGAGCCGTCTCCATCGGTACGAATCGATCCATCTCCATGGTACCGAAGATTGACATGTGCACCGTTCTGATACGCTCCTCCCAAAACACTGTATAGACTTGGAATGAAGGCCTCTCTAGCCTCTGGAGTATCCATTTTAGTCTTGCTACGGAATGGGCGGATAATTACGACATCGCAAGATGGACCTTCGGTTGGCAAATCCCGAGCCAATGGCGTAATCCGAAATGCAGGTTCAAGGCGGTCGACATTGACTTGAAGAAGTCAGATTAGCTTGGATACATATGAGAAGCGTTCGATACTACCAGTAGAGAGGAAATAAGCAAATGGACCGGACAAGTCCACGATTGGGTCGTAAAGTTGAGATTCTGGATGATCGATGAACGTATTTGAAGACGGTTCGAACTGCTGCACGAGCCCCGTAGATGTGGGTAAGAGCTTAACATGACTGTAATACCATTTGTTTGCATTTTTGGCGGCAGCGATCTTGAATCTTTCAATGCCAGGGTGTTCGTTGCGCAAAGCCTCGGAATCATGCAAGATTGACGCGTGGAGCGACGTGGATACAACAATCGCGGATATGGTCACTGTTCGAATATGAGCAAAATTTGGGTTCAGGGATTTGTGCTTACCGTCTGGTCTCTTTGTGCTGGAGGGTGGAGACGATATCGTCGTGATTGCGATGGTAAGTGGTATGGTATTGGAGCCAGAGATAAAGGATTCGAGGCCCCTCGACTTGTACGCTACGTCTAGAGCGTCGGTAGCGGGTGGGAAAAGAGAGGAGTAGAGGGCATTGGCTGTCCCACAAGGAACAAGGACAATGTCAAGGTGAAACGGTAAGGACCCCTCTGCCTTGACTTTGGTCGCAGACAGAAAGTTAGTTATTTCGTGGAGGGTCCCATCACCGGAGCCCAAAACTACAGTGAGATCGCCTTGTTTATCCTTTAGATATCTGTACAGAATTTCGCCGGCGTGGCCTGGGCGTTCTGTTTCGAAAACCTTATCCACGACTTGACCTTTACTAGCGAGGAACGGTTGAACATGGTCATCAAAAAATTGCTAAATGGAAACCGACATCTGTTAGAATTAAACACAAGTAGGATTAAAAAATGATGCCTTGGCAGTTCTGTCCCCAGAGGCGGGATTGTAGATAGCAATGAGAGGCATTGATCGATGTAAGTAGATCCAATGTAGATTGCAATTTCGCCATCTTATCTTATCATCTGCACGTGATCGTTTTCTGTACGCGTCACCCTTAACTATTAGCTTTCAATTCTACCATCACCAGCACTGTTCACTTAAAATGCCGCTGGAAGCGACGATGATGATTATCGACAATTCCGAGTACATGCGGAATGGAGACTATACTCCTACTCGTTTTGATGCCCAGGCTGACGCCGTCAACACCGTCTTTCAGACGAAGATCGACTCAAATCCAGAAAATACAGTCGGTGTCATGACTATGGCTGGGAAGGGGTATGTCCTTCAAGCACCAGCCATTGATTACCTATTTAACATGATTGAAACAGCCCTGAAGTACTTGTAACCCACAGCAAGGACCTCGGTCAGATCCTTCAAGCAATTCACACCACCTCATCCAAAATTGGAGGCTCAATAGACATACCCACCGCTATCGCGATTGCCCAGCTTGCCTTGAAACACAGAGAAAACAAGAACCTCCGACAGCGTATTATCGTCTTTGTCGGATCACCGCTGGAGGGCCAGGCTGCAGACGAAAAGGCCATGATCAAACTCGCAAAGAAGCTGAAGAAAAATAACGTTGCTCTTGACGTCGTATCCTTTGGTGATGGGATCGAGGAGCCAGGTGAAGAAGGGAAGACGATCCTTAGGTCATTCGTCGATAACACTAGTAGTGGTGACAACTCGTAAGCAACGTCTGTTCTGAATGCCATCTCTCCCTTTTACAAAGAAATGCACATAGGCATATCGTTACAGTAGCTCCAGGAATGCGCCTCATTTCCGACGCTCTCATTTCATCGCCTATTCTTTCCGCGGATCGTTTGAGCAGCATACCTGATGAACTCATGGAAGGCGCAGATGCGCCTTCAGCATCAGGCTCAGGTGCTGTCAATGATTTTGAGTTCGGTGTTGACCCGAGTCTAGATCCTGAGCTGGCTATGGTGTGTTCCTTACCTTGTCGTTTGAAGCATCTAATAATCATTTTCGTGTAGGCGCTTCGCATGTCGATGCAGGAAGCTCAAGCACGAGAGGCAGCGGAGGCAGCGGCATCTTCTACCTCAATATCCCAACCTCACACCGACTCTTCCGCAACGCAAGCTTCCACGACCCTACCTACATCGGTCACAGCAGAACCCACTGATAGCGAAGAGGAAGCTTTGTTACAGCAAGCTATTGCTCTGTCTCGGGGAGATCATGACATCGAGATGGATACGACTCACAATGAAGACGATGTCCCGATGGATGAAGATGAGGACGAAGAGGCCGCTATAGCTAGAGCAATTGCCATGAGCATGCAGCCGCCACAGCCGCCACAGAAAGATGAGGAGGCCAAGAAATGACTGTAATATTGTTATTTGTTTCCGTTCTTACATTAGTACAAGCCGGTGCGAGGAGGAAATGAAAGCCTTTGCAGTTATTAAATATTCATTGATCTGGGTGTCTACATTTTGCCGTGGTCCTTTTCCCATTCGCCCACAAACCCATGGATTTTTTCGACCACATCAGAAGCTGTAGTTACCTGACCAAAGGCCTCAACAAACTGACCATTGGGATCCATGAGATATACGAATATCGAATGGTCGACAAGATAGTCGCCGCTGGGGTCCGCGTCCGGCGGTGTGGAGAAGTAAACACGGTACGCCTTGCAAATCGCTCGAGTCTCAGCATACGTGCCAACAAGGCCGACAATTGATGGGTGGAAATCTTTAAGATATACGGCCATCTGTGATACGGTATCTCTGGCAGGATCGACGGATATGAAAAGAGGTTGAAAAATTTTGCCGTGCTCTTTCTCTACGCGGGTGTCAGAAGGGAGGGAAGGTGAAAGAGAGACACGGACGAACCTGCAGCCTCTACCACAGCAGTAATTTTGTCGAGCTCAGCCGGACAAATGTCGGGGCAATTCGTGAAACCAAAGTAGACTAAACTCCACTTTCCAAAGAGGTCTTGATCAGTGAATGGCTGGCCAGTATGCGACATTAGTTTGAAGGGTCCGCCGACTTTGGGACGTCCATATTGCGAGGCAGCGCGCTCTTTTTCTAACCAGAAAGATAAAGTGTGGTGTACGCTGAGAGGGATAGCGCGTACCTCGCTGTTCGATGTGTTTGGCCTTTTCGTGACGGAAATAAAAGACTAAGCCAACGAGTACAGTCACAAAAACGACAGCTGAAGACGGGGTGAACACCTATAGGAAGCTGAATAACCTTGGATACGGAAAATCCTGACCTGCTTACGCTGGCGCTGCGAGGAGGTGCCGGTGGCTCCGTCGAATAAAAGCGGAGATGATTTTGTGGCTGTCGAATGGATTTTGGCCTGAACTGTTGGGTTTCGCGACTAGACAGAGAAAGGCTGCGTAGAGAACACCATTGGGCGCGACATGGGCGAGCAAATCTCGGAAAAGGCAACATGGGTGGCGAGCCAGACGTCGGTGTTGATGACCAAGTTCCGGCATCCGTTCCGGTAGGGAAGCGACTTTTGCTCTGCTATCACCACCACCACCAATATGCCTCTTGCGCTCGTTCAGTTCACGCCATTTCCGTCTCTTTCTCATCCCTCTTTTTGGCACAAGCTCACTCAGCTCAAACTCGATGTCCTTAAGCTGTCTGACGCCCAGGTTGACATCACTGGCTCCTATGGCGTAGGCCGCCTTATCAGGGATAGAGAGGCTGGCGCGTGGATCAGCGTCAATGCAAATCTCGCAGTCGAGGAAGAGAGTTTCACCGATACCAAGTGTGTACCCTAGGCCCTTCTTCCGTATCACCGTTACATTGACCTCGTAGGATACCTACACGCTCCGTAGCTGCCAGAGGAACCCTCAAGAACTATAATACGATCGAAGAGTTCAAGGCCGCAGACAAGACGATGCTCTTCAATGAATGTGCAGACAAGGTCCGTCTAACATCTTTTGACTTGTTCAATCCAACTGATTCGTCAAAGATTTGGGAATCTATAGTGACAAACAAGGATACCTCCCTGCTCAACTCGTTTCTCATCATAACGTATGCCGACCTTAAGAAGTACAAGTATTACTACTGGTTCGCTTTCCCTGCTTTTGTCGCGTCTCCCTCATGGCACATCACCGAACGTGGTTGGGTTCCGGCCATCCAGGCTGGCTTCAGTGAAGCGCAGATGTCATCGATTTACGAGCAACTCTTAGGAAACCAACCCTTGCAAGCATTCTTCGTTGTTCTCACCCCCTCCGACGCTTCTACAGAAGTGACGGTCTCTGCGATCGACGCGTATGTACCGGGTGCTACTGTTGGTTTTATCGATCCATCTGCCCAGCTTCAGAATCCAGGATGGCCTTTGAGGAATTTGTTGGCATACCTCAGATATTCGTATCCGGATTCTATGTCATCTTTGGACGTTCTTTCGTGGCGAGACACCGAAATTCCTCGGGAAGGTTGGAAGAGTCGCGTCGGGAGTCTGGTGGTTGGCGACGGCAGTTTAAGCAAGGCAGCGGTAGTGCCTAATGCTAGGCCGAATGCTGTGGGCTGGGAAAAGAACGTCCAAGGAAAGTTGGGTCCCCGTGTAGCGGATCTCGCGCCCATGATGGACCCTACGAGGTAAGTACCTTCTCATATTGGAATACTCGCCTCCGCATATTCATCTAAACCATGGTCAGGCTAGCAAATCAGGCCGTAGACCTCAATCTCAAGTTAATGCGCTGGCGTATTGTCCCATCTTTAGACCTAGACAAGATCGCAGCAACAAGGTGCCTCTTGCTCGGTGCTGGGACACTAGGATGTTACGTTGCAAGGTGTTTGATGGTATGCCGAGCATCTTGTTTCATTTCCGTTGTCTGATGTGGGCTTAGGGATGGGGTGTTCGTACAATTACCCTTGTTGATTCAGCGCGAGTGTCGTTTTCGAATCCTGTCAGACAACCGTTGTTTCAATTCAGTGACTGTTTGAATGGAGGAAGACCTAAGGCAGAGTGTGCCGCTGAAAGACTACGGGAAGTTTGGCCTGGTCTAGTAAGCAAATGCAGTCTCCTGTTTGTCCGTCTTACGTATTCAAGTACTGTAGAATGCTTCTGGCTATACTCTTTCCATTCCAATGCCTGGGCATCCTATACCAGTATCTCCATCCCTATGTGAGCAAGTACAACAAGATGTGGAGAAGTTAGAAAAGTTGATTGAAGAACATGATGTTGTTTATCTGCTCATGGATTCAAGAGAGAGTCGATGGTTACCTACAGTCATTGCACGATCGAAGGACAAGGTAGTGATCACACTTAAGTTTTTATCCAGTACTCATGATTTTCTAGCTAGTTATGAATGCTGCCTTGGGATTTGATACTTTTCTGGTCATGAGACATGGAGCAAGACACACTCTGGATGATAACTCTAGATTGGGTTGCTATTATTGTAATGATATTGTTGCACCTGCTGATGTGAGTTTTTTATCTGTATTTGTGATAATCAATTGACTTTGTTTTAAGTCTTTGACTGATCGCACATTAGATCAGATGTGTACAGTAACACGTCCAGGACTTGCTTCAATAGCTGCTTCCACTGCTGTTGAATTAATGGTGAGTGTTTTACAACATCCAAGAAGGTAAGTTGCTGTAAATCATATGCTATTAGCTGTTCATTGTATTGATTCATTGCTTTAGTATACATGCTTCTGCTTCATCTTCATCATCATCAAATTATGCAGATATTATAGATGTTGAGAAAACAAGTGTTCTTGGCTTAGTGCCACATCAACTTCGTGGCTATCTTGCTCAATTTCGTAACTTGCATATTGTGGGTGCTGCATATGATAAATGTACTGGATGCAGTGAAATTGTATGTATATTTTTATTTAATTATAACTTTAATTTAATTATTTTATTTAGGTCATAAATGCATATGAAACTGAAGGGTTTTCAATGCTTCTAAATGCTTTCAATGATTCAAAGTATTTAGAAAGATTGACAGGATTAGATAATCTATTTGCTGAAGGTGAAAAGGCATTACGGGATGTGGAGTGGATAGAAGAAGAGGAGGATAATGATTTTTGATTTAATATATAAATGCATATCACAATTATCTATGTTACTATTGAGTCAAAGTCTTAAGAAGATTGTGGATGAAAGTCTGTAGAGTAAGACAAATAGAAATGAAAGAAGTCTAATAGAGTCAGGAGTCTATAGATGTGAGAGAGATTGACTGATGAGTATTATGATTTTAGCCTCTAAATCATAATCTGCTGATGTTTAGTAATCTGATGCTTATAAGAACCTGATAAATCCTGATAAACTCAGTCTCAGCTATTGAAAGACCTTTTCAGAGCCATATAGAACTACAGATGACACATACATGATAATACAATGCTGCACTTTATTTATCTATATAATAATAGAGATCAACAATAATGATATAAGATAGAATTTTATTAAAAATAGAATGGACTTTCCATGTCTTTGGGATAGCTAATTCATATACCTCATCACCTACTTTCTTCATGACCTTAAAGAGACCTCTAAGCTTGTCATTCAACTTCTTCATCTTTCTGTTCAGCATAATTATGTCATTTAGCTGGTAGTCTCTCATCAGCATCTTTTTCTTATCATATTATCTCTTCATAAACTCTGCTGCCTTATGCAATGCACATTTGGTCTCATCTGTCATGATTTTAGCCTCTAAATCATGCCTAGCTATCTTGGCTTGTAGTTTGATCAGAGACTGATAATGCCCAGCTGCTTTGGCTGGGTTTGAGGCACTGAGACACAGGCTTAGTGCTTGATCACTAAGACTTTTCTATACAGTATATAAGTCAGTAGTATACAGAGATATGCCTTAGTCTTGAGCTAAGGTTGATATACTGATCAAACTCCTAAACTCTTGGTGTGACTACCACTTCAGTATCAACACTGGCAGTTATTATTATAAATTTTCCACTTTTATTCTCATTTTTACAGTATTAACCTCTATTTATGCTTAGTCAGGGCATCTATGCTAGCACTTAGAACCATGAGACAGTCTTGGTCAGCACAATTGACCATTGTCTCTGGGCTCATAGTGACACCCAGACAATAGCATAACAAGCCTTTTGTAGATAACACCATCTCATCAAGACAATGAGTACTATAGCACAGACACTTACAATTAGTAGTAGTATATTTAGTGATAGACTCAGAGATATATAAGTAGCATAGACAGCACTATGTATCTCTAGTCTTGAATTATCCTTTATCATATCCATTTACTTGAGTCTACTTGCATAGACCTTGAGACATAACATCCATAGACATCACACCTTGGATTCAGAAGTGATTGTATGAACACAATACAGCTTCTGTTTACCATATGATATTAGACATATGTCACTTGGCCCTAACAATTAGTTCAAGACTTCTGCTTCCCTTTTTTTATGCCCATCATGAGCAAAGAAGACCAAATGCCTGCTATCAATATCACTACTACCACTGATCTCACTGATAAATTCTTTAAGCTTCTAGCTTTGATCATAGGAACACTTTTAAGCTTATTAGCTGTCATCACACTTTGCTACAGACATTAATTGATCACAGCTTGGGTAGTTAGGCACTATCAATCTTTCCAACAGATCCAGTATATCCTCTAAAATGTCACCCCTGATCTCCCTCTCCATAATATCTCTCCCTCTGTCTGAGCCTCCTTCCAGCCCACACCCAGAACTGTACCTGAGGCTAGGCCTAGTGATGTGAATGAAAAGGGTGCTCAAGAAGAAGAAGAACTCAGACCAGTCAGACTCTCTAAGGCAGTCAGCTGAGATGATAAGCATCATAGAGTCATAGGGTTCTGAAACTCATTCAATGTCCTGATGCATGTCCTGTGGGTCTCACCTTCTGTCTCTGACCATGAGAATAAGGACTTCTCTAACAGCTTCTTTGAGGAGTCACCATCTCCTGACTCTTCCATCACTCTCCATGAGCCTGGCATTAGAGATCATGCCAGGGACTCTATTGAGAATGCTCAAAGAATTGCAGTGGATAGACACTCCAGGTATATCACCCCTCAAGAAAGCCCCTCTTTTCCAGCCCCTAGCCCTGTCTCATCAACACCAAATACTCTCTATGACAGCTCCATATTTGATGGGTATAGAGCCCAAATACTCAATGACATTAGAAGAAAGTATGAAGAGACAGGGTATAATTCTGACAGTGATGCCATCTATGACTGACTAGATCAGCTTGAGTGGGAGTGACAGGCCAAAGAGCTCTTTGAGCAAAGATTGGCTGAGGACCACATTCAGTATGCAGCCCAGTACAGGTGGTGAGAGTGAGGACAACAGACTGCAGAGTGGGGCTCAGCCTCATCTGACCCCCATGGACTCTACACAGAGACTGATGATGAAGACAGTAGACTCCATGAGTGGAGTCCTGACAATGAAGACAACTCATAGTTTGCCAACCACTGGTCCAATGCCAAGGTCCTTACAGCAGATGAGATCCACCACACTAGCAGCAACAATTATATTAGCAACAATATCTATATTGACAACAATGACTATGAGCCCTTCTCCTCACTGACCTATAAGGAGAGTACTAATACTGACAGCAGTGGTATCCTTCTCTCAGACACCAGCTCTATACTTGCTGGGTATAGAATCCAAGTACTCTCAGAAGCCAGGATCTCTGAGTGGACCCTCTGACAATTCCTTCATGAATGTGTCACTGCTCTCTTTTTCAACAATAACTTCTACTCAAACTTCCACTAATATAGCCAAGCAGTGAAGGAGATCAGAGCATAAACAGAGGGCTACTGAGTCTGGCCTCATCAGCCTTAGCAGCAGCCTTCTTCTGGAACCTCTAGTGAAATCAGAAGTGGAACTGATGGAGAGCTCTCCAGTGACTCTCAAGACTCCTAAGCCATCCAGCTATGATCCACCTACCATCTACCTCAAGAAGAGTGAGGTGAGAAAAGGGGACAGCAAGGCTGAGGAGGACAATGAGAAAGAAGAGAACCTTCTCACTAATCTATGGATTGACTATGAAGACACAGATGAGGAAGCATTGGAGGAGAAGATGCAGAGAACCTGGATGGAGGAATTCAAAAGATTATACTGAGAGGAGGTAGCACTATTATGGAGGGACAATGGTTGGTATATGATGCCCTTAGGATGTAGATATAAAAAGGCAGACAATGAGAAGAAAAGATGTATATTGCAATATGTGGCCACTGACAGGGCCATTTACTTTTATAACAGAGACCACTCTAAGAACCCACTAAGAGCATTACCACTCTTCAAATACAAAATCCAGCTGATGCCAAGCACTCTAGCACTTTCACCAAAGTGAGCCATATATATGGCTCCATTCCTATGAATGACTAGCTCCAGATATGTGCTCTCCATGTTCTTAGGCTGACAAGCTGCATCATGGCCCCAACTCCAAGAACCACTATAGCCAGTCAGATTCCAAAACCCTTGGATAAGCAAAGAGAGCTGACTCCTTGGCAGACAACCACCATCCAATGAAGCTGAAGAAAGCAGAAAGGACCTAGTCAAGAATGATTCTGAGGCCATCTGACTAGAGTTTATAATCTGGAATAGTATAGTCATATGAAAGAAGACAGAACCTCAGAGAAGCCCTATTGCTGATGACAACTCCCTGCATTCCCTTTCTGAGCCACCCACTGAGTGGCATCAACCACCTTTTGATGAATACTCTAATCTCATAGAGGCTTTACCAAATAATGCTATGATGCTCTAGTGCAAACCAGATCTTTTATGAACCCTCCAACTCTTCAAGGGTGCCTCTGATGACATTGACCATTTCTTTGTTGACTGCAAACAGTACTTTGAAGTATATATCACTTACTTTGGCTCAGACATGAACAAGATAGTGTTTACAGCCTTGTACTTTAAAAGCAAGATGAAGCAATAGTGGATATTGATTGTCCCAACTCTCTACTCTACTACCTGAGAACACTACCACTACTCATCCTGAGCTGTCTTCAAGCAGATGGTCAGAGACAAGTTTATCAATCCAGTAATCCAAGAAGTCCACAAAAACAAGATGAAGAAACTCTGCATGGGCAACAAGGTTGCCAGTGAATACTTTGATGAGTTGGAGCACCTGGAGACATTGGCAAGAGTCAGAGAGAGCATTAATGAAGATGGATAAATGGTCAAGTATATGAAGCTTAGAGTACTGCAATCCTATATCAAGATAGTCTCTGATATCAGAATGAACATTTCAAAGGGATACAAAGCATGAAAGGATCAGATCATGGAGATGAACAAGAAAAAACTGCAACAGAAGGCAGTAAGTGCAGGATTGTCAGTGAAAGCAAAAAAGCCAGGCACATCAAACAGGAAGCCAAGCAGAGAATCAGAGGCATTGAAATCAGGAACTCCATCAGTTCCTCTATACACTGCACAGAAGACAGGCACCAGAATGATATACACCAGTACTGGCAAACCAATAGACATTGACTGCCTCAAGAAGAAAGGCAAATGCTTTAACTTCAGCCAGAAGGATCATATGTCCAGAGACTGTCTGAAGAAGAAGCACATGAGAGAAGACATCAGAGCTCAGATAGCCAAGTTACAGAAGGAGGCAGATGGACTTAAGGACTCTGGATCAGACTCCAGAGTCCAAGAGATAAAAGATGAGGCCAACAAGTGAGCAATTTCACTTGGTTGGCCAGAGAACTTCATAGTGTGTTACCAGTAGCCATAGGTCAGACTCATATGCTCTCTGCAGATAAGAATATTTACATGTATTTGAATATACCCTGTGTCACTCCAGCTACACAACTACCTAAGGAATCACCAAAACAGACTCAATTGTCTAAGGGCTGAACAGAGAGAGAGACCTCTATTGGATGGCTCAAGCCCTTCAATACTGAATGGACTTGGTGAGCTATAAGAGAAGGAAAAGAAGAAGCTATAGCTGCACTCAAGAGCTAAATCCACTGGGAAGGTAACAATTTATCTGGACAATATCCTTATAATGTTGAAGGACAGAGAGGAACACTGGCAACTCATATGCCAAGTACTTGAGCTGATGAGAAAGAATAAATTATTTTTCAAAGCTGAAAAATATGAGTTTGAGATGTTGGAAACAGAGTATCTGAAAGTTATCATCAGTGAAGGAAGTA